CCCCGTCTCATCAATTATTGTCCTTGGGACAATCTCAAGACCAGAACCCGCGACATGCATTTGACCAGAAGTGGGATAATGCTTTTTAAACCTACAGTTTATGGAATTTTAAGAACTTTTCATGGCTGATAATAGGAAATAGCATTCTAAACCTACAAGCAAACTATTAATGTACTTGGTCAATAATTCAAATTTTCAGAGATTTTTAACTATTATTAGTTATCATATGCATTTGACCAGAAGTGGGATAATGCCTTTAAAACCTACAGTTTATGGAATTTCAAAAAGTTTTTATAGCTGATGATAGGAAATAGCATTCCAAACCTACAAGTAAATTATTAATGTACTGGGTCAATAATTCATATTTTCAGAGATTTTTAACTATTATTAGTTATCATATGCATTTGACCAGAAGTGGGATAATGCCTTTAAAACCTACAGTTTATGGAATTTCAAGAAGCTGTCTGGGCTGGTGATATAGATTAGCATTACAAACCTCTGAGCAAATTATGAATGTACTGGGTCTATAATTCTATTTTACAGAGATTTTTAACTATTATTATTAATCACATGCCTTTGACCAGAAGTGGGATAATGCCTTTGAAACCTACAGTTTATGGAATTTCAAGAAGTTAATCTTGGCTGATAATAGTAAATAGCATTTCAAACCTACAAGTCAACTATTAATGTACTGGGTCAATAATTCAAATTTTCAGAGATTTTTAACTATTATTATTAATCACGTGCCTTTGAGCAGAAGTAGGATAATGTCTTTAAAACCTACAGTTTATACAATTTCAAAATTTTATCTTGGCTGATGATAATAACATTTCAAACCTGTGAGCAAATTATGAATGTACTTGGTCGATAGTTCTTATTTTCACAACTGTTATCATGAATGATTTCAAGAATGGGATAAAGCCTTTAAAACTTACAGTTTATGGAATTTCAAGATTTCCTCTGAGCTTATAGTGGTAAAAAACAATTCCAACTTGTCAGCAAATTCTGAATGAAATAATAGTATAGCATAATAATGAAATAGTAATAATGATACTCACATGTCCTTAACCAAGTGTGGGAATATGCCTTAAAAATCTACAGTTGAATGTATTGTATGAGAAGGGTTGATTGTTAGCACACTATTAATGTATTAGTGATTTGCATGTAGTAACCTTTAGTATTTTGAGGGAAACAGTGATTGTGCAATGTTTGATTTGTGTCTAAACTGTGTGCTGTGCGTGATGCCCTTGAAGGGCGATAGTTATTTGACTCAAGCTGAATGGGTGTGAGTGTGTAAACTGAAGGGTGATAGTTATTTGACTCAAGCTGAATGGGTGTGAGTGTGTAAACTGTTAGGTTCATGTTATATCTATCTGGTAAAGTTATTATGGCGTTCTTATTCCTTGTGACAATATCTGCTTGAGTAAAGTTGAAAATTACAGTTATCGAATCTAAAGATTCCTCTTGGCTGTTGATAGTATTTAGTCATAAGTGAAACTTGTGAAACAGAGTCTACATGCAACAGGTCAATATTGCCAATGTTTAGAGATTTTTATAACTATTTTATACTATTCATATGCCCTTAATTAGATAAAGGAAAACAACTTTAAAATATGATGATAGTAGATCATATTTCAGACATGTAGAAAGCAGACTATGAAAGCAAATAGGCCATTAATTAGTACAACTTTAAGAGAGTTAACTTGATTTAATCCTGGTATGCCTTTGACCAGGAGAGGGATAATGTCTCCTAAGTCTAATACTAACAGAATAATCTGACATTTAAAAATTGTGGGCTGAATCTTGAACAGGACAATATCTCTTATTTTCAGAGAATCTGTACAATATTAGTATAATACATACAGATTCAACCAGAAGAGGGATAACACCATAAAATTACAATCAATGGAATCTTCTGATTTCATTTTGGCTGCTCATAGCAAATCACACTACATATTTATGAGCACACTGGGCTGATCTACAGTACTAATTTTAAGAGATTTGTTTAATAGTATTACTTATATTCCCTCAACCAAATGTATTTGAAGTGGAACAAGTTTAAAATCTATATTTTAAAGGGAATTTATTATTTTCTTTTGGGTTCTTATACTTCATACTTATGGGCAAAATCTAAAAGCAGTGGGGCAATATTGCATGTTTTAATTTCCTTGACTACATTTATCACACAAATTCCCCAATCCAAAGCTGGCATAAATTGTTTTTGCTTGTTTGTTGTTTGTTGCTACACAATATTCTAGCTACATGATATCTGTAAATAACTGAGTTTGTACCAGACAATCCAGTTATTGAGATCATAAGCAGCCACACATGCAATCATTCAGACTTGATTCTAAACAATGACTAAGTCATTGAGCCTGACAACTATATCCACATCAGGTAGCATTGGTTTCTGGGAAAATTACACACAAAAAATAAATATGAAGGCATCATTTACCTTGACAGTTTCATCTCAGTAACAATATGTCATCAAAGAAGCTTCAGCTGCTTGGCCTTCTAACACAATGAGCAGATGACCCTTTCAAGCAAATTGTGAAGGGGGGACAACTCTAACTGCTAATTAGTTCAGCAAATATAATGTTATTGATGACAATGCATGGAATAACAAGTTCAAGCTGCTATGAAGGGGCTCAGTGAATTTCCCATTTATATCAAGCTGACCAGGAAGGGGATTTTCAAAGGAACATTAAAGAAACATTTTTGGATAATTTCTACACCATCATTTTTCTTCAAAGTTATAACTATAGCCTTCTGAGATGGGGCACAAACTCTCCCACTTTTTTTCATTCTGAGTAATTATGCCTTGTATGTCAGGTGTCTGTTACAAACAGCTTCCATGTACACAATAATGATGAAAGCTATAAATGATCATTACTGGCAAATCTTATATGCTAATAGCAGTAATATTAACACAACATTACATGGAGGCTAAACATGTTATAAAAATAGGGAGCCACTAACTGCTTAGGGGGCCATGTGAACATTTGGGGATGAGAACTTTAACTGGACCTTTCACTCAGCATTATCAGCATAGTATTATGTGTGATGGCGTGTTACTGAATACACCCTACCATTATAAATAATAGATCACCACTCTTTTTACTGTGTCATGAATGTGTACATGAACCTGTATATTTTTCGAGTATTTCATAAGAAATATTCTCTGAAAAGTATGACCAAGCAACATACCAATCTCTTATATACTCTCACAAATGGCATAACACAAATAACTTAAATCCCCAAAACAAACTTGAATTGTTATACATACATACCCATCAAGAATGGATGTAACATCATTAAAAAAATAATTATGACATAATTAAATTTTCTTTTATTCCCCGTTCTTTTTTAAAAGAAACTATTTACTGTATTATTACATAAAACACTGTGCAAAAATGGCCAGGCTTGCCGATATTTAGAGACAACTTACTATATTTTTACACATATTAGCAGAATTATTAAACTATAAAATCAAAATCCAATACCATTCACATCATATATTTTCTGGTTCTATTTGTGGCCATAAACATATATTGTTAAAAGGAATAATTAGCTATATTTTAAAATATCATTAGATATTGCAAGAAAGTCATATTTCAAGTTGAGCAGTAACCATTTCTGGGAATGAATGAATCATTATGAATAAAAATGAATGAAAAACACCTGACACCTAAATTCAGCATCCACAACCAAGAACATTAATTGGTCGCTCACTTATTTTTAAGCTAGTAGAGTAATTAGAGTAAAGCGTATGAAAATGAATTCTATCTCGTTTCAGTTTCACGTTTCTACATTTTCTGCGCTGCTATATTTAGCTATTATGGCGGACATCGACTATGGAGCGCTACCATTGGCATTTTTTGCGATCAGTAGTTAAAATAAAGGACACGAGTTGTGCAGCTGATTTTGATCTTAATAATTGTTTGTCGATTAAATACATAGTTGACAGTAAGACGTATAATTCTCCATATTAGTTATCCCAGTTCTGGTCGTATCCCAGTTTTGGTCGCAACAGTCGTCCTGTAAACGCTTGCGAAACGAGTGGAGGTCGTCCACTACACGGGTATGGCTGCAGGCGATGGCATTGTTATAAGGACGTGGAGCGATGGGTGAAGCTTTCGCTCGTCACGCCTAGGTTCGATTCCCCACATGGATACAAAGTGTGCAGATCAGGGTTAGAATTGGTCTCCATTTCCCATGCTTGTCGTAAGAGGCGACTGACGGGATCGGGTGGTCAGGCTCGCTGGCTTGGTTGACAAATGTCATCGTATCCCAACTGCGTAGATCGATGTTCAGGATGTTGATCACCGGAGTGTCTCGATTTTTACACATATAGTTGGAATATTGCCGAGTGCAGCGTTAAACAACAAACAAACAAAGGCAAAAAACATGGGTACAATGTATGAAGGCTATTTCTGGGGTACCCCACCTTGATATTGCTGGAATATTGCCAAAATGGCACAAAACAATACCCACTCACTACAATGCAATATATGGCTCACACTATTGATGTGGAGACAGCACAGCCCATCTCAACTGACCACATAAACAAGTTGTCTGCGACACCTACTATGACACATTGATGATGAGAAGCTGACGGGCTCAACGTGTCATGAGATCTTTTGACAAGTTATTTAGAGAACCCCGATACAAGGCAATTTATCGAATGATACTTTGTCTAATTTTGTCCAAACATCAAAGAAAACTTTATGAACGTTTGCCCTTGCCCTCAAAAAAGACCTTCAAGGCACAGGCCATCGTGTCTTTGCGAGGATTAAATATGTTAAAAACACATAAAACATTTCAGATGACCCCCGACTCGAAATGCTTCACAGTACAATATATTATGATTGTCATAATGTATTATACGGTGTAGCATTTCAAGTCGCGGGTCATCTCAAAAAAACTATTTTTTAAATCTTTAATCTCCGCAAAGACACGAGGGCCTGTGCTTCAAAGTAGATTTGGTTGATGAAGTCGTGGCTTCAGTTTTCAGGGACATTGATGTGATGACCATCATTCACCATCTGTGGCGAGGAAGGACCGTTTCCAATTTCGTCCGCAGAGCTAAACGAAGAAAGGTGAGCTTGTGAAGTGATAAGTGGTTCAACATTGTTTCACGTACCCGTGAAGATCCGGATTAGCATTGCTCTTCAGGGCTTGTCGTAGGAGGCGACTAAAGGGATCGGGTGCTCAGGCTCTCTGACTTGGTTGACCCATGTTACCGTGTTCCAATTGCGTAGATCGATGCTCATGATGTTAATCATTGGATCGTCTGGTCCAGACTCGATTAATTACTGACCGCCACCATATAACCCTGATTTTCATGAATCTCCAATCGTCAAGCAGATTAAAATATCTTCCAGTTCAAATATTTTCCAATGATATTATTGGTAGGTGTCGCTGTGAGCGTATGCCTAATGCAACCGCAGATTGTGCTGAGACGAACTTATTAAATTATATGTAATATTGTTGTCAGAAAAAACACGGTGCAGGTATGCACGGGGCCAGGTTCAGTGGTTCAAAGGAAAACCGACGAGGCCAGGTACCAGTAACTTGACTTATTCTGGTGAAGGGTACAGTAGAGGGAAGCACCACATGGATACCGCCATGTTGGTTCTCACCAAAAGTTGGAATGATACAAAATGTAGGTGTGGAAACGGAATTTGCATGCAAAACGAAATAGGATTCAAAGATAAAGTAAATGACAATTTTGGCCTTAAAAGGGCTTTGTAACATTGTCGACATGTCATACTCTCTGTCGTTTCTGAGCACCGTGGACAGCTGCACCCCAAAATAGTACAATGTATGAGAAACAAAACGTGTTTTGTGAATCTTTGATCAACGTTGGTAGTGACGCATGATTTTATGATGGTCCCAGCACACGCTGAGGTTACTAACATGTGCGCCACCTACCGACAATTGTCACCAAGGGAAGCGACTCCAGCATGTTGAGGAGACCCAGGCGAGTTCGTCACACCTGGGCTGGTCGAACAGGTCATCAAGCAACGAAATATAACAAAGAGCTGTTTTGACCTATATTGTTTCAGCTAAGCACAACAAAACTGAAATACAGGCGAAAAGTAAATAAGGTATATACATATACCATATATGCTTGTAAGGAGATACCAGGCGCATTACTGTTATAAGTTTATCAATAGTCATATTCTACATTCTTCAGTTTACTGGCAAAATCCGAGCAGTAGCCTAGTGGTGAAAGCGTTCGCTCCTCGCCCCGAAGAATCGGGCTCAATTCCCCACAATGTGTGAAGTCCCTTTTGTGGAGCGATGTTGCAGGAATATTGCTAAATGCGGCGTAACACAATACTCTCTCAATCTTCGTTGTCCCCAGGTTGAAGGGCGGTAGGGTAGCCGTGTTGTCAAAGCGTTGGCTCGTCACGCCGAAGACCCGAGCTCGATTCCCCTCATGGGTTCAATGTGTGAAGCCCATTTCTGGTGTCCCCTGCAGTCATATTGTTGGAATGTTGCTAAAAGCTGCGTAAAACCATGCTCACTCACTCACTCTCACCAAGTTGAACGTTTCTGTCCCTGCGAAGTGAGGACATTCCCTCTATGGGCGATGCCCCCACGTCTTCACAACCTGAACTGCTACACATGGCAGCCCCTCATAATCAACGTGAGCAGTCGCCCTTGTCATGTTTTCTGTGTTTCCGATCTAAGAAAATGATGCAAACGTATTATCAGGAGTAAAAACCCGTACGTAGTCGAAAGACAAGTCGGAGTAATGAGACATGCACAGTGATTTGTGGTAGAGTGTGGTCCTGTGCACAAAGCTCAGGTCACACAGTTGGAGTTAAGCAACGTCGAGCTCGGACAATCCTTGGATGGGTGACCGTGTTTGGCAGCTTGGCTCTTGAGAGTTTCTAGGACTTTCAGTCCTGCCCCACAACGAAGCACATGTGATACATGTGATCTCACCTTAGGCAAGTGAGTTTGTTCAAAATTGCCTCTGTTCACCCAGCAGAAAATGGGTACCCGGTGGAAAAATTGATGTTGCTATAACCTTCCAGCGCCTTGCATGCAGCTTGGGTTATCCGAGGTAGTAATGTGCTGTGCTATTGATTGTTAGCGCTATGAACATACCTACTGTCCGTTTGGGCTCAAATGAGAACGATGAATGAGTAAATATCTCTAAATAGGGGGGTGACAAACGGCTGGTGGAACAGCACCAGCACAGATTCAGGTACAACTCAGCACACCCAGGTGAGATAACCCCAGCCTGTCATGCGCTGTTCCATCAACCGTTTGTCACCCTCGGTGTGTAGCATAAAAATAGCACAATATTACATGATAGTTTCTTAAACAACTTTTTCCGTGATCGATCAAAAAACGTCAGATTTCAAATCCTGTTTGGTACGGAGGTTTCAGGACCATGTGTCATATTTATGTGTCACAAACGTGCTGGAGACCTGCATCAGTTAGCTGTTTTGCCGTGATATCATTGTCCACAGGAACTCTATTTTCAAAGCAACCCATATTCACTCATCAGCACGTTTAAACATTATGGTTATGCTTCATTTATTTACTCGTATTACATGCAAACATCGCATGGTGTCTTCGCCTTTTATTAGCTTTTCACCAGATAAAGAATCACAGACTGTCGCTCGGGTGTGGAGGCATGCAGTGTCATGGTAAGGGTGAATGAATGAGTGAGTGTAGTTTTACGCCGCTTTTAGCAATATTCCAGCAATATTACAGAGCGGACATCAGAATTAGCCTTCACGTATTGCCCTCATGTGAGGAATTGAACCCGGGTCTTTGGCATGACGAGCGGCGTAAAACAATACTCACTGACTTAATATCTAAAAAATATACCTGCCACAGCGACCAAGTCAGGACGGCCATTGTTCAACAAAGGTTTAATTCCAGGTATCAAGAACTGTATAACCATGAGGTGTATACATCCCGATTGATAGTCAGCATGGTCACTAAATAATTTACTTTTCTCCCAAAATCTGCTGAGATCTTCCAAACCTTCCATATTTTGTGTCCAGGAACTATTCTGCACATTGAGCACAAAAAGGAAATTAGCCCAACGTGGCTGCACAGGACGTACCGTGCAAATAAATAAAAGTGTTTAGGCAAGTTTCATAGGATTAATGACTCTGAAGTCTAGACCTCTTGTATATCTGTAAGTCTAGACCTCTTGTATATCTGTAAGTCTAGACCTCTTGTATATCTGTAAGTCTAGACCTCTTGTATATCTGTAAGTCTAGACCTCTTGTATATCTGTAAGTCTAGACCTCTTGTATATCTGTAAGTCTAGACCTCTTGTATATCTGTAAGTCTAGACCTCTTGTATATCTGTAAGTCTAGACCTCTTGTATATGTATAAGCAGTATGTTTACTTGTTTTCGTTGCAGCCCTTATCATCATGTTGTCAATTGCATCATTGCTTCATTGCTTCATTTACTTATGAACACATGCTTCATTTACTTATGAACACATGCTTCATTTATTTATGAACACACGGATGTAAGCATCATGATTTGACCCGTGAACATCCGGAGTAGAATAGGTCTTCAGCAACCCATGCTTGCCACAAAAGGCGACTATGCTTGTCGTAAGACGAGACTAACGGGATCGGGTGGTCAGGCTCGCTGACTTGGTTGACACATGTCATCAGTTCCCAACTGCGCAGATTGGTGCTCATGCTGATGATCACTGGATTGTCTGGTCCAGATTCGATTATTTACAGACGGCCGCCATCCCAGATAGCATTCGGGCGTTGGCCCAACTTTGGCAATGTTGGCAAAAACCATTGCCAACGTCTGAATTGCTATCTGGGATATAGCTGGATTATTGCGGAGTGCGGCGCAAAACTCAACTCACTCACTAACCCATCACGATTTTGTAATTGTAATTGTGTTAATGGGGCGGTATTTATATAAGCATAAAATGCTTGTGTACCAACCTAGGTTTCTGAAAATATATATATGCTTAAACCAACTACAACTGAGAAAACCCTTTCCACTCCCATACGAGATCACTACCACGAGCAGAGTCGGTTGATTCTAAACATCTCTAATGCGATTCCTATTGTGTCATAAGCGTGTGTTTATGAATCACTATCGACCGCCTCCGTGGTGTAGTGGTTAGAGCGTCCGCCCGGAGAGTGGAAGGTCGCGGGTTCGATCCCCGGCCGCCTCATACCAAAAGACGCTAAAATATGGTACTTGTTGACTCTCTGCATGGCGCTCGGCATTAATGGGTACAACAAGGACTGGTAGGCTCGGAGTCAGTATAATGTGTCTGAGTGGGGTATTCATGCTTCATGCGGCATGCTATCTCAGTGAGCTAGCACTATAAAACCAGCTTCAGTGTGGGCTAGTACAAGCAGCCACACATACACATGCATGTGAGTCGTCATATGAGCGAAATATTCTTAAGTGCCACGTTAAAACCTCACCTCACCTCACCTCACCTATGAATCACTATCGAAAGGTGATAACATCAGGTTCACGTTAAAAGGTGAACATACCCTGTCCCTTTGGTGGCACCCGTCATGTAAACACGAGTAACATCCGAGTGAATTTCTCAGCTGCTTTAACGGGAAGACAAACCAGCGAATTGCATAGAACATATACTATTCAAAAAATGAAACACATAACCCAGAAATCTTTTGCGAAACTGCTGTATTTTCAAACATGTGTAGCTCGTCCACAAATAGACTTTAGTACATGATATTTTACATCAGAAAAAGGAAATGTCAATACAACGAAGTGGATAATGTTAGATAACGGAGACGCTGAGCGCGATGGTGACGACGTTATACCGTCCCGACGTCGGGTCTCCTGAATCTCAGTCCAATCTCTCTCAACCTGTTCCGTACAGTTTGGCCGGATATCCTCCGAAGTCCAGGCACTCTGGCTGCTGTGATCTCATCCGTGGCAGTACGATCACGCAAATGTAGTACCCGGATGTACCGATCTTGGGCTACAGTGGTGACTCGAGGTCTGCTTGGTACGGGGACCGTCATTTGTTATACCTGTTGGCTTGTAACGAGCTGCAAGCCGTGATATCGTGCTCAGACTAATATTCAGACGCCTCATTCTTTCAATGGCGATGTTCCGTGTCCCAGCGTCAAGACGTGGCGTAGAGATTTGACCTTGAAACTCCTTCAAAACGAATGCAGATTTCCGAAAGTAATATGGATTTTTATATCCAGACAGTGCCTGCTCTGTGCTGCACAATTTCAACTGGAAGGTGATTTCTGTTGCGTTGTGGCGATGCCATTTTAATCCTTGTAAGAAATCTCATCAAAATCAACCTTTTCAGGTAAAATCGATTGTTTACTTGTGCAGGTGTGTAAAATCATGTTATCAACACTTTTATTACATATTTTGACGATTGTTAGCACACAATAGGTAATTACTACATGTAAAAAAAATGCAATACGCCTATGCGTTTCTTTTTGGGAATAGTATCTTTGCGTCAAATTTGGAAATGTCCCCACATGTCTACAATGAAACTTTTTTAAAGGTTTACTTGGGGCGGTGGGGTAGCCTAGTGGTTTAAGTGTTGGTGGGGCGATGGGGTAGCCTAGTGGTTAAAGTTTAGGCTCGTCACGCCGAACACCCAGGTTCGATTCCCCACGTGGGTACAATGTATGAAGCCCATTTCTGGTGTCCCCCGCCGTGATATAGCAGGAATATTGCTAAAAGCGGCGTAAAACCATACTCACTCACTCACTCAAAGCTTTACTGAAGCCTTGAATGTTGTAGCTTCGACCAAACATTTTCTGAGATGAAGTCTTATGACGCTTTTTGACATTTTGATATAAAAAGGCTCGATTGTACCTAAAAAGTTTAAATGTAAAAACCAAAATAGCTTTAATATAGCTCGTCAGACCGGAAAGGTTTACTGTTTGAAATTTAAACCACCACCCTTTTCATACAGTCTGGTGTTGAGGTTCTAGTCCCTCTGAATCGCACAGATGTAAATATAAAACAGAGTGAGTGAGTGAGCTCCAATTAGTTTGACACGTGCACCAACTCAGTGGATAGAGGGGTATTTTTATAGTGCGCCATTTGTGCAAGGTGTTAAACTGTGACACATGGTTACCACTCCAGCTGCGGGGCATGCTCACCTTTTCTATGGAATTGCCCTGGGGCGTTGTTATTTATTGTTGGGACGGTGGGATTAAAGCATTTGCTTGTCACCCCGAAGACCCGGGTTCGATTCCACATGGGTACAATGTGTGAAGCCCATTTCTGGCGTCTCCCGCCGTGATATTGGTAGAATATTGCTAAAAGCGGCGTAAAACTAAACTCACTCACTATTTAACATGACACTGATAACTCAGTTTATGTTTACAAAAATCGAAAATAGGTCATATATGTTATGTGTGATAATTTATTGAATATTTACAGATATTTTGAGGATTTATATGTGAATTTTAATTATGAGGATATGAGGCGCACTGAGAAACTACAGTGACGCAATCTAAAACAGGATGAACAAACTACGGCAGCCCGGTGTGAGCATTAAACGATAGTAAGCGACCAACTTTTCTGTATTTAATTCGTTCTGAATAAAATACTGTGTAAACCAATGAATTAGTTGAAATTTGAAGGCCCATACAAAAAGGGTTGTTCAAATAATCGGCCCCAAAGGAATTAAGATAAAACCACCGTTTGTCCAGATACAGTGGGGTATTACTCCAGAATAGAGGGACGGTGGGGTAGCCTAGTGGTTAAAGCGTTTGCTCATCACGCCGAAGACCCGGGTTCGGTTCAGCACATGGGTACAATGTATGAAGCCCATTCCTGGTGTCCCCCGCCGTGACATTGCTGAAATATTGCTAAAAAGCGGCGTAAAACCAAAATCACTCACTCACTCTAGATTATAAACTTGTTCCCAACGTTCTGATGACGCTAGATCGAGCCCTGTGCAAGAACAGTCTAAACACTAAGTAACCACACCGTCGTTTGTCCAACAAAGTGGTCCGAAATCGCCTAAAATCGGTCGGGTATAGAGCCAGGCGACCGGTCAGACGCTCGCTATCCCCAGAGCACAAAGCAGCGTGACTAGCTTGGTGTCAAACTCAACGTCACTGGAATCTGACGTCATGGGGAAAGGTCCACTGGTCGGACGAAAGTCGATTTCTTTGGTTCATAGCCCTTGTTTGGTGCCGCAGAAACGCTGCATATACACAACGTAATATCTTGGAGCAAGAATGGGACAGGAATTGTTTGTAGGGCTGCCTTTCATATGATGGTTAACTTTTTTGTAGTTTAATTTATTTCTGAATCCCTGTTTCAGTCAAGACTAAGCAACCAGGGAAGCGCTCAGTCAGAAGATAGGCAGCAATCTCACGGGATACAGGTGCACATTTTTACGACAAAAGACAAACCATTCACTCACCATTCACACAAACACAAAGTTGTTTTTAATTATCAGGCAAATAAATTAAGAATATAATTATTAATTCAGTTGTCTTTGAATAAACCATGATATAAGAGTCATTTAGAATAAAATTCGGCGTTACAGCTTTTGTAAAACAAAATACATTTGTCAATACTGTATCTCAATCTCAACTCACTTCTGAACTGAGCAATATTTGGTAAAGCAGAATTGAGCTTGCGTTTGTACAAGTTATATTTTCCCAATAATAAGAACCAGTTAAAAACAGAGTTAGTAAAAACATTTTTTCTTACAGCCAAAAATTATCAGTTCCAAAGTGAGTTTGGGATGACGGATTTGATCACAACCTTCTGTTAACCATGTTAAAAAATTTGACCAAAAGGTTTGAACAAATTCACACTCCTATGGTAAACCACTGAGTACTGAATGAATCTTGAATGACAAGTCGAATCAGGATATATAGTTATCTGTTTCCTTGACTAAAACAAACCAAGGCAAGATCATGGCCATGATTTCTTCTTTGTCACTTTCTGAAGTCTCCAGCTATATTTCTAAGTGGATTATAGTGTCTTTTGTTCGAATCAGTGTGCGAAATAGTTTCCAAATTTTGCAAGCCAATTGGGCTAGCTATGCTTAAAGTTACTAGTCCACACAATAATTTACTAGCGCGAAATTTGAATGTAGACACGGGTTTCATCATTAAGCCGCTGATATGAACATTTATATCAGGCCATAAATCTTGCATGATTTAAAAAGTGTATTATAACTTAACAAGTCGGAGAGAGTGATATATTTACAAAATGATCCCATGAAAAGTCACCAGCCAGTCGTGCCAGTATTTGTGGAGATTTACTGGCCCGACTGGATTTTTACTAGCCACGGGCAAGCGGGCTAGTGGCTATTTCGCACACTGGTTCGAATCCCAAATGTATCATGATCATGATCCTTGGTTTGCCAGACAATTACAGAGCTTCATTTTCACCGTAGTTGGACACATTTAAGAGCTGCAGTCCCCTGGCACATGCATTGGGTGAGTGAGTGAGATTTAAACAGCTTTATGCAACATTCCAGCAACGATTGGGATACTAGGAATGGACTCTACACGTTGTACCCATGTAGAGAATAGAACCCAGGTTTTCGTTGCGACGAGCGAACTCTTTAACCACGTGGCTACCTCACCGCACATCCTCCGACTTGAAGGTGACACGTCGTAATACAATTGAGTGAGTTTTGTTTTACGCCGCTTTTAGCAATATTGCAGCAATTGAATGTAGGGGACACCAGAAATGGCTTCACACATTGTACCCATGTGGGGAATAGAACCCAGGTTTTCGTCGTGACGAGCGAACGCTTTAACCACTTGGCTACCCCACCGCCACCATAATACATATGAAATCCATTTATGCGTCATAGCATAATTACTAACTCATTCAATTAGAGCAAATATGTCCGATACAGTTGACCATATTTTCCGGTCGCCTCCTCGACTCTGAAGCTGACGACACTCGACCAGTGCACACTTACACTGTATCCAACATGGCGACAGCTGGAGCCGCCATTCTTCCACTTCTTCTGTGTTTATTTCTGGTAGATGTGTGTTCCGGTTACAACTTTGACGTTGTCCACGCCCGTGTCCTCCACAGAAAAAGTATGTTTGGATACGCCAGTGCCTTCAAGTGGACTCCAGTCTGGATATAAGTAAGTGCAAGAACTTATAGTCACTTATATCTTTCAACAGGAAGTCACTGTAAACGAGACGATCACAGTCACTACCACGCTTCCCCACTTTCTTAATGATGCGGGGCGGTGGGGTAGCCTAGTGGTTAAAGCGTTGGCTCGTCACGTCGAAGACCCGGGTTCGAATCCCCACATGGGTACAATGTGTGAAGCCCCTTTCTGGTGTCCCCCGCCGTGATTTTGCTGGATCATTGCTAAAAGCGGCGTAAAACTAAACTCAGACTCAGTCATATATATGTGATCATTTGACGGTCGGATTAACAATTGCAGAATGTGTTTACTGATCGTGTTAAGGGGAGATGGGAAAATCCTACATGCATTTATGATCATATATTGACATATCCTGCATGTATATATGAGCATATAACAGGGACATTGACATATCCTGCATGTATATATGAGCATATAACGGGGACATTGATATATCCTGCATGTATATATGATCATATAACAGGGACATTGAGATATCCTGCATGTACATGTATATATGATCATATAACAGGGACATTGACATATCCTGCATGTATATATGATCATATAACAGGGACAATGACATATCCTGCATGTATATATGATCATATAACAGGGACATTGACATATCCTGCATGTATATATGATCATATAACAGGGACATTGACATATCCTGCATGTATATATGATCATATAACAGGGACAATGACATATCATGCATGTATATATGATCATATAACAGGGACATTGACATATCCTGCATGTATATATGAGCATATAACAGGGACATTGACAAATCCTGCATGTATATATGATCATATAACGGGGACATTGACATATCCTGCATGTATAAAAGAGCATATAACGGGGACATTGAGATATCCTGCATGTATATATGATCATATAACAGGGACATTGACATATCATGCATGTATATATGATCATATAACAGGGACATTGACATATCCTGCATGTATATATGATCATATAACGGGGACATTGACATATCCTGCATGTATATATGATCATATAACAGGGACATTGACATATCCTGCATGTATATATGAGCATATAACGGGGACATTGACAAATCCTGCATGTATATATGATCATATAACGGGGACATTGACATATCCTGCATGTATAAAAGAGCATATAACGGGGACATTGAGATATCCTGCATGTATATATGATCATATAACAGGGACATTGACATATCATGCATGTATATATGATCATATAACAGGGACATTGACATATCCTGCATGTATATATGATCATATAACGGGGACATTGACATATCCTGCATGTATATATGATCATATAACGGGGACATTGACATATCCTGCATGCATATATGATCATATAATGGGGACATTGACATATCCTGCATGTATATATGATCATATAATGGGGACATTGACATATCCTGCATGTATATATGATCATATAACGGGGACATTGACATACCCTGCATGTATATATGATCATATAACGGGGACATTGACATATCCTGCATGTATATTTAATCATATAACGGGGACATTGACATATCCTGCATGTATATATGATCGTATAACGGGGACATTGACATATCCTGCATGTATATTTTATCATATAATGGGGACATTGACATATCCTGCATGTTTATATGATCATGATAACCATGATAACGTATTGGCAAAATGGCCCCCTAGATATATATACGCTCCCAAAAAAGAAACGCATATCGGAATTTCAACTGTATTTTTATGTTTGTTTTGAAACATCTTGTAGGCTTTATGAGTCAATGAAATATAGCGAAATTGCACACTGGGAATGCAGACTTATCAGTCTTTGGCACCAACTCGAGGAAAGTCAGTTTGAGTGTCACATGGAGACGTGTGGTGGCGCTGAAGTCAATACCTCGTGTGACCACCGTGGGCATCCAGAACTGCACGGCATCGCCTCGGCATCGAACGAATAAGTCTCAGAATCTCGTGTTGCCCAATCGCAGCCCACTCTGCCTGTAGTGCCTGTGCGAGTTGCTGAAGTGTCTGGGGCTGAGGGTTACGGCGTCCCACCCGTCTGCCCAGGGCATCCCACAGATGTTCGATCGGGTTTAAGTCCGGTGATCTTGAGGGCCAGGGGAGCACATTGATGTTGTGGTTGTGGAGGAAGTCTCTAGTGTGACGTGCTGTGAGGGGCCTGGCATTGTCATGTTGAAACAACTCCCTCTGGCGATCAATGATTGGAAGGAGGTGTGGGCGTAGGATTTCGTCACAGTACCGTTGAGCTGTCAGGATGCCCTGGATCATCACCAAATCACTTCTCCTACGGCAGGTGATCTCACCCCAAATCATAACACTGCTCCGGCCGAATCTGTCCACCAGGGGAACGCAAGCGTCGGCGAAACGTTCACGTCGACGTCTGTACACCTGCATTCTTCCATCGCGTCGTTCCAATAGAAATCGTGATTTATCATTGAACCAGATTCTACGCCAATTCGGTAGGTTCCAGGCCTGAACGTTGGTGCACCATTGAACTCGATGTCGACGATGTTGTTGTCGAAGCACAGGGCCAAAATAAGGTCTTCTGGCACGTAAACCAGCCTCTCTCAACCTGTTCCTGACGGTCTGTGCAGAAAGCCTCCTCAATCCGGGTATTTGTCGACTGGTACTGGTCGCCGTAGCTGTTCGATGACGCAGGTGATGTACCCGGATGTAGCGATCCTGCGCCGCAGTGGTCGCCCACTACGAGGGGCATCTGCTACCGCATTCTGCAGGCTATATCTCTCCCAGAGCCGTGAAATGGTGCTTTGGTGAACATTCATGCGTCGGGCAACTGCACGTTGAGACTGGCCAGCTTCAAGCAAACCAATGGCGATATGACGGTTGGCTTCACTTAGACGTCGCATTTTGCGTTCGTCAACAATATTCCAAATACAGTGAATACTCGACAGACAGCGATCAACCTTTTATACCCATCATTGAGACTATCTGATCCCCAACTTTCACGTGCATTGCATGTGAAGTGTGTATTCTGTGACACTACACGCCGAAATTGAAAATCATGCTGTTAAATACGGGTATTTTACGGATGGTGCGTTTTGTTGTGATGTTCCAAAACATAAACACCATAGGACTCATAAACAGAGCTAAACCTTTTGTAAAATGAATCACGTTTTAATTCATTGCTACATGAAATTTATATTTTCATGATGCGTTTGTTTTTTGGGAGAGTATATATCCTTTAACAACTTCTAAGTAGTCTCCGTTACAAAGCCCTTTTTCTGATTTGGACAGTTTCTCGTCATTCTTAAAAACAACAACCTATGTTTTGTTTGCATTTACATTAAGCTTAAATTCACGGCAATGGCCTTCCAGCAAGGTAATTTTTTTGTGTGGACCCTTCACTGTACTTGAGAACATGATGACATCAACAGTAAACAATGACAAAAATACCATAACAATGTCCGGGTGCAACTGAATACCATCTGTACAACTTTGATACACAACTGACGCTAATTCATTTATAAAGAACATGGACAGAAATGGGCTTAGTATACAGCCTTGGCGTACACCGACAGTTAAATGTTGATGACATAACACCATTGTTACGCACTCATGTTTTCACATTGTTATATGATGATTTTATTACCTCCCTTCGTTGGCTTTTTATTCAATCAGGTGTCTACGCTGCGAAGTTGAGCGTACCAATCACAACTCACTTTCGCTGTATAAATTATCTAACCGATTAAACTTGGCAACACAATAATATATTGTTGCAGAGGTACTCTGAACAAGGTAGAAGGAGTTCTTGCATGTATTTTTTTAGGATTTCCGACCTGTCAATTTGTCTGTATGTTTTCCCCAAAGATCTGAGTCGCACTGCGAACAAACTTTCGTGGCTGCGACCGCTATCTTTGTTGACACTGGCAAGCTCGGTTGCAACGGCGGCTTATCTAAATGGCTACTGTGAGAATGCGGAGCCAGCAAAGAGAGGTAATAAAATCATCGGCTCGAGCCGTAGATGCATCCAGGGTATAGTGGAGATTTATCGGAACGTATACCCTGGAGATTATCGAGGATTTGCAGCTTTGTGCTCTGGAGATGGACGTCTGATATAGGTCGTCGTTCTCTAAACGGGGCCGATTTTAGGCGATTTCGGACTTTCTGTTGGGCAAACGACGATGTGGCCTCTCTGTTTTGAACAGATGAAGTCTTGTGATACTGGGAATTTCTGTATCCTCCCCAAGTAGCTGTCATTCGGGGTGTTCTGGTGAATCGGCTGTTGTCGATGGACAACTAACATCACTTGCAATAGCCCTCAATGATAAGCCAGCACTCTGCCTTACTGAGCAGTTGTCTGTGGATGAGACCCCATATTTGCTTATCAACAACGAAATCAATAGATTTCCAAGGTATTGAGCAGTAAGAACAGTTTACTGAATCTTGATATTTGCTTAATGACGGATACACGTATTGCACGTGACGCTCACCTTTGATCGTAGAATGTGCACATCAATGTATAGTGCGTCATAAGGGTGAAACTACAAAATTATGATATGAATAACAATTACTATATGGGTTTAGAAAATAAAATAAAATGAAATAAAATAATAAAAACACAAAAATTCCCTAGGTGTTGCGTTACTTTTTCCATGTGTACATAATTATATGACGGGGAGATTGAGTCCTGTATTTACATAAGATCTTGTTACGGAAGGAGTGACTTGGCAAATAAAGCATATTCAGGGGATTGCCAGTTTTGGTTGATCATGTAACGAGTTCAGTAATAAAGCATATTCAGGGGATTGCCAGATTTGGTTTATCATGTAACGAGTTCAGTAATAAAGCATATTCAGGGGATTGCCAGTTTTGGTTGATCATGTAACGAGTTCAGTAATAAAGCATATTCAGGGGATTGCCAGATTTGGTTGATCATGTAACGAGTTCAGTAATAAAGCATGTTCAGGGGATTGCCAGTTTTGGTTGATCATGTAACGAGTTCAGTAATAAAGCATATTCAGGGGATTGCCAGTTTTGGTTGATCATGTAACGAGTTCAGTAATAAAGCATATTCAGGGGATTGCCAGTTTTGGTTGATCATGTAACGAGTTCAGTAATAAAGCATATTCAGGGGATTGCCAGTTTTGGTTGATCATGTAACGAGTTCAGTAATAAAGCATATTCAGGGGATTGCCAGTTTTGGTTTATCATGTAACGAGTTCAGTAATAAAGCATATTCAGGGGATTGCCAGTTTTGGTTGATCATGTAACGAGTTCAGTAATAAAGCATATTCAGGGCATTGCCAGTTTTGGTTGATCATGTAACGAGTTCAGTAACAATATCAGCAATGATTGTAAATTGTAGATCCTGAACCAATGTCGCTGTTCCGTGTTTTAGGATCATTGTAGGCGCCCCAAAAGACAACTCCGAACGACGGAACTCTACTGGTGCCACACACGAGTGTGATGTCACAGAGCCTTTTAGCTGTGTCAAGATGCATTTCCGGAGAGGTAATGGTCAAGATTGTTTATTGTACATAAGGCCTCCGGCCCGCATACATTATATTATAATGACAGGCAAAGTATGGGCAGTGCAAATAGTGAGAAGCATCTTAATATATGTAACTAGTTCCCAGAAGAAATTAAACTCGTTCTAAATGTCAGTGAATATGTTTAAACCCAGAACTATGTGAACCCGTGAAGATCCGGGTTAGAATTGATCTTCAGTAACGGTGGAGTCTACTAATGCCTACAGTGAATAATGCCTACAGTGTTAAATAAACAACTTTACGCCCCAGTGCTGCTGATTGCACCTGCCTTCAACCTTTCAATAAAGTGGCATGGTCCTATTTCAAAGTGCACTAATGCCTACAGTATATAGAAAACAGTAACTTTCTATGTTGAGAGACATTTTATTTGGTCATTCATATACATATGTACATTCATATACATATCTTTCACATTGTTGTCATATTTTTCTTAATTTTCTTAAACTTTATTCATATCTTTCACATAGTAGTTTGTTTTGAGATAAATAAATTTACATAAATAAACATAATCATTTATTTGGATTAAAATGTAATTAAAACTTAATTTGATTCATGATTATATATACATATATACATCTTTCACACAGTCAACTACCACATTCATTAATAAAGTCATTGTGGTAACCAAAAGTAATTTACATGTATACACACAGTTTCACACATTCATCAACATAGTCATTTGGTTTTCAAGCTAGCTTGATCAAATATCCTGCAGCAGTCAGGAATTCCAGGGGTGTCTTGATACCAGATGTCAGCTGGGCCTTCAGACGAGTGAGTCTCTGGTCAATTTCTGTGTACGTCCTCTTGCGGGGTGGGGGGACGGGCGCCATGAGCCATCTGCACCAGCTTATTTCTCTCCGCTTTCTCCAGCTTCTGCAGAACCTTCACAAGAGCGAAAATGTTCGGGTTGGCTCTCTGGACGGTCTTGTTGAGATGCGAATGCCAACCCTCGAGATGATTGTTCGTCCTTGGGCCGCTGGTGTCGTGGTGATTCCATAGTCCGGCTCGGAACCGTGCATGGTCGTCTACCCAGGTGCTGGTGATGTAGTCCTGGAACTCATCCTTCTGTCCAATGGCAGGGGCGTCGTCCATGACCTCTATCCAGGCATTTTGTACCATGGCCACTGGGAGGAGGGGGGAGTGCTGCTGCTCGTCGGACCCATCTGTGGACCTCAGGATCCTGCTGGTAGGCTTCGCTGAAGCCGAGGTTCTGTACTTTCCTCCAGAGAGCCTGGCTGTAGTGGAAATAGCATCCACGGACGTCGCAGTTGGGGAAGACGGTCTCAACAGCGTTGATGGCAGCGATTTCGAAATCCGTCTGGATGACATCAGGCTGGAGGGGCGATCCCGTTGTCTGCTGGATCTTGTCGTTCAGGAGACGTAGCAGGCGTTCATAGGTGCGGCGTTGACGATTCGGCAGTAGACAGAAGACCAACTGGGTCATCTTCCTCCGACTAGGCCATGGATGACGTACAGCTGATCCCAGAGAGGAGGACAGGAGTAGAAGGTGCCGTCCATGTAGAGGGTGTCCACTTCTTGCAGGAGGGTCAGGCGGTCACTTGTGGCGAAGCAGAGAATCTTGTCATCATCACCGTCATCAATGCAGAGGAAGGGCAGTCCATCTGTAGTCTCCTTGAAGAAGTCGGGTAGATTCACCTCGCTGAGCGTCTGGGGAAGTGGCGGCATCATCTTCCGTCTCTGCTTGTAGAGTCCACTCTTCATAGAATGGAACGACTTGACTGTTGCCGCTTCACCTCGGTCAAGTCGGGAAATCTCCTCATCGTAGATCACCTGAACTGGCGTCGTCTCAGTCTGTACCCGCTGCCTCAGGGAACTGGCAATCTTCAGGGCTACCTGGTCTTCTTGTGGGTGGTTGTGTGGGGTCTGATTCCGAACAAACTGTCCGACTGTCGTACACTTGCCAAAGCAGCCACCTTGAACACACTTCCAGTGTACACACGTCTGTCGCCTGTTGTTGAGTCTGTAGCGGTATCCTCCCAAGAGTACCTGCTGTCCTCCTTTCTGTGATGTGAAGTATTCGACTTTCTTGGGATTTGCCATGATTTGCAATGAAGATTTGTATCACAAGCATTTTAAAGCAATACATTTCCTTCTCCCTTTAATAATCTCTCAAGTAATTACTCTATTCTTCAATTTTAAAGCAATACATTTCCTTCTCCCTTTAATAACCTCTCTATTAATTACTTTACTCTTCAATTTCCTTCTCGTGTGAGAACTAAATGCGTATGGAATTATCAAAACATAAGCTAGCTAACGATTTAATACTCTTGATCTTACTCTTTACTCTCCTTGCTGGCCTCCCCTAATCCCTTTGTGGGCAATAGTGCACACTAAGTGGAACAATCTACTTGTGTGCAGGTAAGCGTATCGCTGTCACTGCAAACGTTGTAGCTATTATTCCCTGTAGGCATTATTCACTGTAGGCATTAGTAGACCTAACCTCAGTAACCCATGCTTGTCGTAAAAGGCGACTAGCGAGATTTTTGTAAGAATTGTTTGTAAGAGGTTCGCTGACTTGGTTGGCACATGTCAGCGTTTCCCAATTGCGTAGATCAATGTTCATGCTGTTGATCACTGGATGGTCTGGTCCAGACTCGATTATTTACAAACCGCCGCCATACAGTTTGAATATTGCTACAACCAAGCCAGACCAAATAGAGCTATGTGGTTGTACTGTATACTCAAAGGCAAAAGAGAAATGATTCAAGCATGGTGACGATCAAAAGTTCATACGAACAGCGCACCTTGCATATACAAATGGGCCACATCACAAGAGAGTTCACAATCATCTTTACACTGTCAGTAGCGAGTGTCTTCCCTTTGGCACGTCCGCCTCACAAACGTCGCTGAAAGTCCTGGTGAGGATCATTACATATCCACGCAAGGATACGGCTTGCACCCTCCCGCACCCTTCTTTATCAAGATGCTCACTTTGAATATCTGACCTTTCCAGAAATCACAGAGGCGCCTTCAGGAGCGTGGTACGTTGACAATGAGATGTACGGCTCCGTCATCGTACAGACCAACGACTCGACCACTGTAAGTCTTCGAATAGTTCATAATCAGTAAAATCATTCCGGGTTATAATTGGGGCGAGTAAATGGCTCGTTGGTCAGACGCGATGACGCACTTAGAATCACTGGTTTACCCGTGAAGATCCACCGCGTTAGAATTGGTCTTAAACAGCCTATGCTTGTCGTAAGAGGCGGCTAACGGGATCGGGTGGACAGTCTCGCTGACGGTTGACACATGTCATCGTATCCAAATAAGCAGATCGATGCTCATGCTGTTGATCACTGGATTGTCTGGTCCAGGCTCGAACATTCATATAGCTCTCATATTGCTGAGTGCGGCGATAAACAAACAAACAAACAACGAGTAAACAAACATGGGTTTGCTTGGTCCAGACTCAATTACGAACATCCCTCTACAGTGATCGTTAATGAGAATCTATTGATGAGGCCTGTCCAGCGGTGTTGGTGTCTGATTACACTAAATAGTTTTTGTAACTTGTGAATAAAACTGTTGTAACAATGTGAAACGAAGCGCATGTGAGGTATTGTGCAAGCTGGAGGTTTATGTACCAAATTACCAATTACTGCACCCGATAACATCCGGCTTCGTGTTGTACCAACCTATCAAGAGTTATATACAAACAGCTCGTTACACAGACATTTATCATTAAAACTGTGAAATTTATCTTTGAAAATGTAAAATATGACGCATGTTATATTTGTGTTTACACCTTCTAAGTAAAGATTCTTGTACGGCTGTTCACCACCCGGTATTCGAACCCACAGGCACTTAATCGCCAGTACACAAAGCTAGCCGTCTAACCCACTGAGCCATCAAAGTTTCCACAACCCAACCCATGCTAGAATCTGTACTTTACTGAGAAATTGTAATGCAAAATATAACATGTGTTACATCTGACCACTTTTTAAATGGCGTTGTGTATTCAATGCTGTAAGACCACTGTGAGCATGCGGACCAATACATTGAAGTCATTACAATGTAAAATACTGTCAACGAAACCAGTTTTTCTGTTGGTCAATGATTGATTTAACGTTACACAGAAATTTATCATTAAAACCCACTGTGGAAGTCGCGGTGGCTGAGCGGTCTAGGCGTCTGGCGATTAGGTGTCTAACTCTGAGGGTGCGGGTTCGAATTCCGGATGGGACTCAACCCAAAAAGTAGTAGAATCTGTACTTTACTAAGAAAGTGTAATCCCAAATATAACATATGTTACATTTGACCACTTTCTAAAATGGCATTGTGTATTTCATAGCTTTCGGCCGTGGGAGCCGTGCCAATTAACACTTATCAGAGGGGTACACAAAGTCCGCAGTCTAGACTACCAGTTGTCCGACTTCCATTTTGTGGAAGCCGCGGTGGCTGAGCGGTCTAGGCGTCTGACTTTGTGTGCTGGCGATTAGGTGCCTGACTCTGAGGGTGCGGGTTCGAATCCCGGATGGGACTCAACCCCAAAAGTACTAGAATCTGTACTTTACTAAGAAAGTGTAATCCCAAATATAACATATGTTAGATTGATTTAACATTGATAAATGATTGTTCACTCCAGGTCTGCGCACCTCGATTCAATGACCTTCGTTATGAGGGAAGTGGGGCTGCCTTTCTGATAGGCCGCTGTGTTAATGACAACGTCAACATGCGACCAGCAGAATTCTACCCTTTGGACATTAAAACCTATTTCAAAGAAATTTACCTCGACAGCGGAATTAGCAAGTCCGTTTACTTGAACGGTATGGGTCAAGCCGGGATGTCTGGTGACGCAATGGCAGTAAGTTCACTCCCAGACAGAGCACATAAACCTGCACCCCTTCGAAACAACCGAATTTTATGACCAAATTAGGAATACGAAGGGTCCAAGCTATTACTTCGAGATAACCGGATTCGACACATCGAATTATTCGAAGTTTGACGCAACAGTGGTTTACTGTATAAACACCACGAGTAGAGGTTAATCTCGTACCATATTATTATCTATTGAGCCGTATCTATGTACATAACAATGCAATTGGGAATTCATCTCATACGATCTCAGCATAAAGTTGATTATACTGAAACCCAAGAATCGGTTTGTATGCCCCAAACATGGCACTAATACTATAACATGTACTTACGACAATGGTAGTGGTAAGATGGCATTTTGGAATGGCGTGTTCTACCACTGCCAGGTAGCCTTGTGGTTAAAGCGTTTGTTCATCACGCCGCAGACCCGGGTTCGATTCCCCACATGGGTACAATGTGTGATTCCCATTTCTAGTGTCCCTTGCTGGAATATTGCTGACAGCAATCCTCACTCACTCACTCACTCACTCACTATACAACTGTTTACGTTCGTATTCTTACATTTACAATCAAACAGTAAATTAAATGACGAAATTCCTCCAATCTAATTCTTCGTTATAGGATGGCAGCGTGTTGATTGGCGTCCCAGGATTCAAGGAATGGAGGGGTATGCAATACATAAAATATTAGATTTTATACTTCATACATCTGTAAACAACTGGTGGAATCTATCTTTCCGAAGTGTGCACAGTTGGATCTTAGTGATGACCAGTGTATGAAATAAGCCAAAAATCCAGCCAGACATCAGGGCTGGTAACTTCAAAATGTTACAAGCCCAAAATGGATTTAACCAGACCAAATATGGTGAATTTTCTCGGATGTATAGAATATCTAAAAGATTTACCAGCCATCGAGCTGACTAGCTGTAAATTTAGACCGTCCGTCCGAAATCTAGACCGTCTCGGCGGTCGGAGGGGCCTTATTTCATCCACTGCGATAACCCATGCTCATCACTCTTTTAAAAAGGGTTTTTTGGTTTGTTTGGGTTTTTGTTTGTTTTGATTTTTGTTTTTGTTTGTTTTTTTTTGGGGGGGGGGGTTATGTTTTATCAACCTTACCATAATATACGCAGGGTACAACTGCGATGATTAATTATTTTTCTATTTCAGTTTCTTGTTCGACACCGGGGCAGAGAAAATTGATAACCAGATTTGAAACAAACCAAAATACTAACGATTACGTTATCCGCGTTGTCACGTCAATGCTGACGTTGTTTATCGAAAGCTGATGGCAGTGTAAAATATTGCTATGTTCTCCTATGTTCTATCCACGATCACGACACCAACAGTTGCTCTGTGTAATGTGACATAATGGGGAGTGATTATTCTTCGTCCAGACACGCTAGTTCTCCATGCTTTGAGTCAGGACAACATTCCGCTTCCGTAATTTGTGACATAAGAATTACACAGTAACAAGTAGGTTTCATGTGCTATATCCCAGCATCAGCTGGTAACGGCTACTGTTGGACGGCATCTACGCTAACAACTAGTCTAAAAAAAAAGTAATGTAATGAAAATGAGCCCTGAGACTTTCTTCATTTTCAGAAGCTGAGGAAATCTAGACTTGCCACATTTTCTAGACTTGCGTGGGCTTTCTTGGATATATTTGCTTCAGGGTCTGTATGACAGACTAGACGGCATCTGCCTCAGCGCGCGAAGCGGGCAAGGGGGCGCAACTCCTTGAAAGGGGACGCAACTCCAGGACTGTTTCCAATTATACAGGTCGCCCTAAAACCTTATCTACCTACCAATTATACGCAGCCATATCGATTGAATATTGCTGAACGCGTCGTAAAACAATATTTTCTCTGAAATGATATCTTGTCTCTTTTCAGGAGGAGTCGTTTTGCTGAAAAAGGAGGGCGACATTGTGATGAGACTGGAATTAGAAATGCCCTTTCGTATTGCCGAATTTTCATACCTTGGTAAGTTCAGTGGACAGAGAGTTTGACCAGACAGCGGAAGGCCCGTCATTCTCATACCTATAATTCTATTCCGGCAGTGTATTATAAGATGGTGACCCGTGAAGATCTAAGTAGAATTGGTCTTCAGTAACCTATGCTTGCCGTAAGAAGCTAACGGGATCGGCTGGTTAACGCGTCATCGTATCCCAACTGCGTATATCGATGGTCTACTTCAGTACACTGGGTCCTGGTGAGGCATGCCTGTCAAGGGATGGTTTGCTGTTGTTTTACGCCGCACTCAGCAATATTTCAGGACACTCCAGGGACAATCAACAGTATGAGCATCAGTCTGAGTCTACGCAACTGGGAACCGATGACATGTCTCAACCAGTACAGAGAGCCTGACCAACCGATCCCGTTAGTCGCCTCTTACAGCAACCAATGGTTGCTGAAGACTAATTCTAACCCGAATCTTCATCACGAGTTCATACATGCTGAAAGGCGGTATGGTATCTCAGTGGACTGGCAGTCTGAAACTGACATCGATCAGGACTAATACAACGAAACACACGCGCACACACACGCACACGTACGCACACACACACACACACAGGCACACGCACACACAGAAACACCCACATTCACATTTCCATACACGTGCAAAACTATATAATACGACATTTAACCAAATTTCACCCTACTATAATTTACAGGGGTGCACATCAGACCATAATGCACCTCTTATACAACTGGGAGGAGTTGGGTAGCCTAGTGGCTAAAGCGTTCGCTCGTCACGCTGAAGACTCGGGTTCGATTCCCCACATGGGTACAATGTGTGAAGCCCATTTCTGGTGTCCCCCGCCGTGATATTCCTGGAATATTGCTGAAAGCGGCGTAAAACCAAACTCACTCACTCCTTATGTTTGTTTATGGATCCCTTGAAAATCTGAGTTAGAATTGGTCTTCAGCTACCCATGTTTGTCATACGAGGTGACTAAGGGGATCGGGTAGTCAGGCCGCTTACTTGGTTGACTGTATTGCTGCAATGACTTTATATGACATGTTTGATAACCATGGTGATTGACCAACAGGCTACTCTGTGGTCACGGGGAAGTTGTGCGGTCAAAAAGACACCTGCTTTGCTGCAGGTGCTCCACGTGCAGATATAGTCTACGTAAGTTTAATGAATAATGACATCCATATTATAATAAAGAATGTTCCTAATTAATTCTTCAAGTGGGCCAGTATTTACGTCACGTGATGCAGTCACTGTATATTATCAGTTGCAACGACAACAGTTGTACACGTCCTGTCCTGCTTTGTTGCATCAATTCCCTCCAAGACTTCCCTACAGCACTATCCTACAGCACTTACCTACAGCACTATCCTACAACACTTACATACAGCACTATCTTACAACACTTACCTACAGAACTATCCTACAACACTATCCGTCAACACTTACCTACAACACTATCCTACAACACTTACATACAACACTATCCTACAACACTTAACTACAGCACAATCCTACAACACTTACATACATCACTCTCCTTCAACACTTACATACATTACTCTCCTACAACACTTACATTCATTACTCTCCTTCAACACTTACATACATCACTCTCCTTCAACACTTACATACATTACCCTCCTACAACACTTACATACATCACTCTCCTTCAACACTTACATACATCACTCTCCTACAATACTTACATACATTACTCTCCTTCAACACTAACATACATTACTCTCCCTCAACACTTAAATACATTACTCTCCTACAACACTTACATACATTACTCTCCTACAACACTTACATTCATCACTCTCCTACAACACTTACATACATCACTCTCCTACAACACTAACATACACTGCTCTCCTACAACACTTACATACATTACTCTCCTTCAACACTTACATACATTACTCTCCTACAACACTTACATACATCACTCTCCTTCAACAGGTACATACATTACTCTCCTACATCACTTACATTCATCACTCTACTTCAACACTTACATACATTACTCTACTACAACACTTACATTCATCACTCTCCTCCAACACTTACATACATTACTCTCCTTCAACACTTACATACAATACCCTCCTACAACACTTACAACACTTACATACATTACTCTCCTTCAACACTTACATACATTACTCTCCTTCAACACTTACATACATTACTCTCCTTCAACAACACTTACATACATTACTCTCCTACAACACTTACATACATTACTCTCCTACAACACTTACATACATTACTCTCCTCTCCTTTACATACATTACTTCCTTCAACACTTACATCACTTCCTTCAACACTCAAATAATCATCTCACTTAACACTTACATACATTACTTCTCCTACAACACTTATATTCATCACTCTCCTTCAACACTTACATACATCACTCTCCTTCAACACTTACATACATTACTCTCCTCTTCAACACTACATACATCACTCCTTCTTGAACACTTACATACATTACTCTCCTACAACACTTACATACACTCTTCCTTCAACACTTATATACATCACTCTCCTACAACACTTACATACATCACTCTCCTCCTACAACACTTACATACATCACTTCTCCTTCAACACTTACATACATCACTCCACCTTCAACACTCTACATACATTACTCTCCTCCCACAACACTTTACATACATTACTCTCCTTCAACACTTACATACACACTCTCCTACAACACTTACATACATCACTCTCCTTCAACACTTACATACATTACTCCTCCTACAACACTTACATACATTACTCTCCTTCAACACTTACATACATTACTTCCTCCTACAACACTTACATACATCACTCTCTCAACACTTATATAACATTACTCTCCTCCTTCAACACTTACATACATTACTCTCCTACAACACTTACATACATTCATCACACTCCTTCAACACTTTACATACACTTACTCTCCTACAACACTTTACATACATCACTCTCCTTCTTCAACACTTACATACATTACTCTCCTTCAACACTTACATACATTACATTTCCTCCTTCAACACTTCTACATACATTACTCTCCTTCTAAACACTTATATACATTACTCTCCTACAACACTTACATACATCACTCCTCCTTCAACACTTATATATCACATACATCACTTCATACACTCTCCTCCTACAACACTTTTATATATACATTACTTCTCCTACAACACTTACATACATCACTCTCCTACAACACTCCTTTACATACATCACTCTTCTCTACAACACTTTACATACATCACTCTCCTTCTAACACTTACTCTTCATACATTACTCCTCCTCTCTCCTTCAACACTTATATACATCACTCTCTCTTCAACACTTACATACATTACTCTCCTCTTCAACACTCTATCATACACTTACATACACATTTACATACACTCTCCTTCAACACTTACATACACATCACTCTCCTCCTACAACACTTACATACATTACTCTCCTTCAACACTTACATACATTACTCTCCTACAACACTTACATACATCACTCTCTTCAATACTTCTTACATACATTACTCTCCTCTTCAACACTTACATTCATTACTCTCCCTTCAACACTTACATACATTACTCTCCTTCAACACTTTACATATACATCACTCTCCTACAACACTTACATACATCACTTCCTTCAACACTTATACATTACTCTCCTTCAACACTTACATACATTACTCTCCTTCAACACTTATATACATCACTTTCCTCTACAACACTTACATACATTACTTTCTCCAATACAACACTTACACATACATCACTCTCCTTCAACAACACTCCTCACTCTCTCAACACTTACATACATACTCTCCTTCAACACTTACACATTACTCTCCTTCAACACTCTTACATACATTACTTTATATACTTACTCCTCAACACTTACATACATTACTCTCTCCTACACACTTACATATTACTTCCTCCTTCAACACTTTACATACATTTACTTCCTACAACACTTACATACATTACTCTCCTTCAACACTTTACATACATTACTCTCCTACAACACTTTAACATACATCACTCTCCTCCTACAACACTTACATATACATCACTCCTTCAACACTTACATACATTACTCTCCTCCTACAACACTTATACATTACATTACTCTCTCCTTCAACACTTACATACATTACTCCTCCTACAACACTTACATACATCACTCTCTCCAACACTTACAACACTTCTCATAACACTTTACATCATCACTACTCTCCTACAACACTTACATACATTACTCTCCTACAACACTTACATACATTACTCTCCTTCAACACTTACATACATTTTCCTCCTTCAACACTTACATACATCACTCTCCTTCAACACTTATATATTACTTCCTTCACTTACATCCTTACTTCAACACTTCCTTATACTCTTAACACTTACATCTCTCCTTCAACACTTACATACATTACATTACTCTCTTCAACACTTACATACATTACTCTCTTCTACTACAACACTTACTTCCATAACACTTACATACATTACTCTCCTCCAACACTTTACATATACATTACTTAAGCTACATACATCACTCCTCCTACAACACTTACATACTTCACTTCTCTCTCCTTCAACACTTACATACATTACTCTCCTTCAACACTTACATATACATTCTCCTCAACACTTACATTACATTACTCCCTCCTTCAACACTTACATACATTACTCTCCTTCTACAACACTTACATACATTACTTACTCCTACAACACTTACATTACATTACTCTCCTTCAACACTTACAACACTTACATTATTACTTCTCCAACACTTACATACATTACTCCTCCTTCAACACTTACATATATATATCACCTCCTACAACACACTTATATACATTACTCTCCTTCAACACTTACTCCTACAATACATTACATCCTCTTCAACACTTACATACATCACTCTCCTACAAACACTTACATACATTACTCCTTCAACACTTCAACACTTACATACATTACTTCTCCTTCAACACTTACATACATTATTACTCTCCTACAACACTTACATACATTACACTCTCCTTCAACACTCTACATAACACTATACATTACTCTCCTTCAACACTTTACATACATTACTCTACTCCACTCACATACATACATACTTACTCTCTTCAACACTTACATACATCACTCCTCCTACAACACTTACATACATTACTTCTCTTCAACACTTACATACATTACTTACTCTCTACAACACTTACATACATCACTCTCCTTCAACACTTACATACATCATACTCTCCTACAACACTTACATACATTACTCTCTCCTACAACACTTACATACATCACTCTCCTTCAACACTTACATACATACTCTTACAACACTTACACTCATCACTCTCTACAACACTTACATATATACATTCACTCTCCTACAACACTTACATACATTACTCTCCTTCAACACTTACATACATCTACTCACTTCTCATTACTCTCCTTCAACACTTACATACATTCACTCTCCTTCAACACTTACATACACTCTCAACTCCTACAACACTTACTTACATACATTACTCCTCCTTCAACACTTACATACATTACTTCTCCTACAACACTTTACATACATACACTTACTCTCCTCTCACAACACTTACATACATTACTCTCCTTCAACACTTTACATACATTACTCTCCTTCAACACTTACATACATTACTCTCCTTTTCTCAACACTTACATACATTACTTCTCCTCCAACAACACTTACATACATTACTCTCCTACAACAACACTTTACATACATTACTCTCTCTACAACACTTACATACATCACTCTCCTTCAACACTTACATACATTACTCTCTTCACACTTACAATACTTACATACATTCCTCTCCTCTCAAACACTTACATACATTACTCTCCTTCAACACTTACATACATTACTCTCCTACAACACTTACATACATTACTCTCCTACAACACTTATACATACATCACTCTCCCTTAACACTTCTCCTATACTTACATTACTCTCTCCTCAACACTTACATATACATTACTCTCCTTCACACTACTTCTACACTACATACATCACTCTCCTTCAACACTTATATACATTACTCTCCTACAACACTTACATACATTACTCTCCTCCAACATACTTATTCACACTACATCACTCCTCCTTCAACACTTATATACACATACTACTTCCTCTCAACAACACTTACATACATCACTCTCCTTCAACACTTTTACATACATCACTCTCCTTCAACTTCTACATACATTACTCTCTTCAACACTTATATACATCACTCTCTCCTACAACACTTACATACATCACTTCCTCTTCAACACTTACATACATTACTTCTCCTTACAACACTTACATACACTACTCTCTTACAACACTTATATACATACATTACTCTCCTTCAACACTTACATACATTACTCTCCTTTATACAACACTTTACATACATTCATCTCTCCTCCTACAACACTTACATACATCACTCTCCTACAACACTTACATACATTACTCTCCTTCAACACTTTACATACATCACTCTCCTACAATTCAACACTTACATACATTACTTCTCCTTCAACACTTACATACATTACTCTCCTTCAACACTTATATATCATTCCTTCATTACCTCCTTCAACACTTACATACATTACTCTCCTTCAACACTTACATACACTACTCTCCTACAACACTTACATACATTATCCTCCTACAACACTTACATACATCACTTCTCCTTCAACACTTACATACATCACTCTCCTCCTTCAACACTTACATACATTACTCTCCAACACTTACATTCATCACTTCCACAACATTACATTTACTCTCCTTCAACACTTACATACATCACTCTCCTACAACACTTACATACATCACTCTCCTCCTACAACACTTACATACATTACTCTCCTCCTCAACACTTACATACATTACTCTCCTTCAACACTTACATACATCACTCTCCCTACAACACTTACATACATTACTTCCTTCAACACTTACATACATTCATCTCTCTCCTTCAACACTTACATACATCACTCTCCTTCAACACTTACATACATTACTCTCCTTCAACACTTACATACATTACTCTCCTTCAACACTTACATACATTATCACTCCTTCAACACTTACATACATTATCACATCCTCCTTCAACACTTACATACATCACTCTCCTTCAACACTTACATACATTACTCTCCTTCTCAACACTTACATACATCACTCTCCTTCAACACTTACATACATTACATCACTCTCCTTTTTACAACACTTACATACATCACTCTCCTTCAACACTTACATATATCACTCTCCTTCAACACTTACATTACTCTCATACAACACTCTCCTTCAACACTTACATACATTACCTCCTTCAACACTTACATACATTACTCTCCTACAACACTTACATACATTACTCTCCTACAACACTTACATACATTACTCCTCCTGCAACACTTACATACATTACTCCTCCTACAACACTTACATACATTACTCTCCTTCAACACTTACATACATTACTCTCCTTCAACACTTACATACATTACTCCTCCTTCAACACTTACATTCATCACTCTCCTACAACACATACATTCATCACTCTCCTTCAACACTTACATACATTACTCTCCTTCAACACTTACATACATTACTCTCCTTCAACACTTACATACATCACTCTCCTACAACACTTACATACATTACTCTCCTACAACATAAACATTCATCACTCTCCTTCAACACTTACATACATCACTCTCCTTCAACACTTACATACATTACTCTCCTTCAACACTTACATACATTACTCTCCTTCAACACTTACATCTCCTTCAACACTTACATACATCACTCTCCTTCAACACTTACATACATCACTCTCCTACAACACTTACATACATTACTCTCCTTCAACACTTACATACATCACTCTCCTTCAACACTTACATACATTACTCTCCTTCTCCTCAACACTTACATACATTACTCTCCTTCAACACTTACATACATCACTCTCCTACAACACTTACATACATTACTCTCCTTCAACACTTACATACATTACTCTCCTTCAACACTTACATACATTACTCTCCTTCAACACTTACATACATCACTCTCCTACAACACTTACATACATTACTCTCCTTCAACACTTACATACATTACTCTCCTACAACACTTACATACATTACTCTCCTTACACAACACTTACATACATTATACATTACCCTCCTTCAACACTTACATACATTACTCCTTCAACACTTACAACACTTACATTACATGCACTCTCCTTCAACACTTACATACATTACTCTCCTTCAACACTTACATTCATCACTCTCCTACAACACTTACATACACCACTCTCCTGCAACACTTACATACATTACTCTCCTACAACACTTACATTCATCACTCTCCTTCAACACTTACATACATTACTCTCCTTTAACACTTACATTCATCACTCTCCTACAACACTTACATACATCACTCTCCTTCAACACTTACATACATTACTCTCCTACAACACTTACATACATCACTCTCCTTCAACACTTACATACATTACTCTCCTTCAACACTTACATACATTACTCTCCTTCAACACTTACATTCATCACTCTCCTTCAACACTTACATACATTACTCTCCTTCAACACATACATCACTCTCCTTCAACACTTACATACATTACTCTCCTTCAACACTTGCCCACATGAATGACCTCCAAAACGTACCTACAACGCTCTCCTGTAACGTTATACACTTGATGTTTTGTTTCATCCGGAGCAAAGCAGTTGTTACTTACATCTACACTAATTATGCCTCACACAATCTGAACACGTTATCTTAAAATATTTCAGGTAGTCAATTACATCAACTCAATCAACCTACTTTCATTGGTGAAGTCGTTGAGAGGCGAGCAGGTGAGTTGCCTAGAGATACGCATGATGCGTCTGTCATTGTGTCGGTGGCGACAATACGTTGAGGAGCGTCTCACAATCATAGAGAACGTTAAAGCATACTCTGATACGCAAGGCTTGGAAGCCTTGACAACTTATGGGGCAGTGTGGTCGCCTAGTGGTTAAGGCGTTTGCTCGTCCGACCGAAGCTTCCAGGCACTGTGAAGCACTGGATAAAGTTGTCAAGTGAGTGAGTGAGTTTAGTTTAACGCCGCTTTTGGCAATATTCCAACAATATCACGGCGGGGGACACCAGAAAAGGGCTTTACACATTGAACCCATGTGGAGAATCGATCCCGGGTCCTCGGCGTAACCAGCGAACTCTTAACCACTAAGCTACCCTGCCGTCCCGCATCATAACGAACAGTAGACGTCCCGCATCATAACGAACAGTATGGTTTCAGGCCGGGGCTTACTTCGGTGCCTCCCTTTGTACGGTAGATGTTAATGGAGACGACTTCGACGACCTGCTGGTCGGGGCTCCGTACTTCACCGACAGCAACGACGACAGTGATCACAAGAAGAAAATCTACATGGATGAAGGGCGGGTGTTTGTCTACCTGAACCTCCTCAATGACAACAGACAGGCAAGACAAAACCCACAACTCTCCATATCTTAGTTCATACGATCGATATCAAAAAGTTCTAATTATCACCAAGAATTCAGGGTACAAAAAATATTTTGCTGTCTTGTCCTTATGAGTTCTCTACATAGTCACCATCCCGAGCTACACAATTCTGCCACCGTTTCTTGACCTTGTGCAGACCGGCTGAATAGAAGTCCCCTGATTTCATGCACCTTGGCCTTTTTCGGAGGTGGTGATGAGGCATGTTTCCACTCTTTACTCTAAGCGAGGAACCCAGCGTGCTGGCACTTTGGACATGTGCAGCTGGTTATGAATGATGTCCAATGCACTGCCATAACTCCAGTCGGTCTCATGCATATCCATGTGTATTGTTACACGGCGATCTTCCAGATCCAGCGCCTCGACTTTGTTCGCGGTGTCCATATCATAAGTAAGTGAGGGGCGTCAACTTCTTGGCTCATCTGAGAGGGACATGTGACCGGTTTGGAAATACCTTTTCCATCTCACAACAGTATCATAGGATGGGCCATCATCACCATAAACAGATTTCATCTCATCGTTAATTTGTCGTGCAGTGCAGCCCTTCAAGTGCAAGAACTTAATTACACTGCGCGCCTCAATCTTCTCCATACCTGGGGATTGGTGTGTAGGGTCAAACTTGTATCCTGATTGCTTAGTAACTTCTTAGTGATAATTGGAACATTTTGATACCCCCTCGTATAACTTTCTATGGCTACAGGACATGTGAAAGTGTCCTGCTTACGTGTGCGAGCATGTTGCATGTGCCCCACCCTATTTCCTGAAGAAACCCAGTCAGTTTAGCGCTGTTATGTTCTCTGCAGAGTACACGAGAGAGCATTCCGCTTAAAGACTTGTTGAAGAACATGCATCTGTACTGATGAAAGAAACAGTTGACTTACCGTTGGCCATTATTTTCTCAGCGGCTTCTATTCGTTTATACGTTTCACAGCGGGTCTTGACACAGAGCTCGGTTCTCAAGGGGAAGAATGAATACGGAGCCAGATTTGGAACTTCCATCAGTAACCTTGGAGACATCAACGGTGATGGTTATGCAGGTGAGATTGAGATTATCGTGGTAGCCATCGACTCATCAACGGTGATGGCTATGCAGGTGAGATTGTGATTATCATGGTAGCCATCGACTCATCAACGGTGATGGCTATGCAGGTGAGATTGTGATTATCATGGTAGCCGTCGACTCATCAACGGTGATTGTTATGCAGGTGATTGAGCGTGGTAGCCATGACTCATCAACGGTGATGGCTATGCAGATTATCATGGTAGTCATCGACTCATCAACGGTGATGGCTATGCAGGTGAGATTGTGATTATCATGGTAGCCGTCGACTCATCAACGGTGATTGTTATGCAGGTGAGATTGAGATTATCGTGGTAGCCGTCGACTCATCAACTGTGATAGCTATGCAGGTGAGATTGAGATTATCGTGGTAGCCGTCGACTCATCAACGGTGATGGCTATGCAGGTGAGATTGAGATTGTCGTGGTAGCCGTCGACTCATCAACGGTGATGCAGGAAGACATTAGTTAGGAACTGTTATCAGTAACCTTGGAGACATCAACGGTGACGGCCATACAGGCTACCTGGGGAATGACTTTGGTACCTTTGGGGACATCATAATTGATGGTAATATGTTTCCTTGAATACGTCTTAAGATATGTGTCGTTACTGTCGTAAATGCTGAATAGGCTTTAGTAACCCTACTACAGTTACCTACTAATGATGGCCGTCAGGGGAGATAGTAGCTCAGACTCTCCACTTGCTTGGTCCGTCCAACATGTGAGGGGGTCGGACGACCGTGACTCCTAACTAACCACATTATATTCATGTACTGGCACACATACATTAAAAAATGTACGCGACACCAGGTTCTATACTCACATAGGTTTACTCTGTCTCAGTCCATCTCTCTACTACAAGTTCACCAACGGACATGGTAGGCTCGTGCCACAGGGGGAAACTGAGTCGCGTGGACTTTTAGGGATGCAGTTTTACCTGACAACATTACCATCTTCCAGATGTTGCTGTTGGAGCGCCATATGAGGATGAAGGACGCGGGGCGGTATACATCTACCACGGAGGGGAAGGAGGGGTGAACGCCGAGGCCATGCAGAGAATAGGAGGCCGCGACATCAACGACACGGAGACAGTGGCGTCTTTTGGCTGGAGCATCTCCAAACCTGCCGACGTGGACAGGAATGGCTACCCTGGTACGACCACCGCACTCAACAGACACACGCTCTGTTTTTCTCATGTTAAATATAAGATCGGATAATGTCCAAAGTGTGCCATGCGTCTGTGAGTAGACTCTTTACATTTTCGTTGTAGTTTTGTTGCCTGAAAATCTCAATACACTGTGCTACTGGATGCTCCTGTTTTGATCCTTTGATCACCATCTGTTTTGATCCTTTGTCTGGCAACGTTCTTTCGGTTTCACCAATGTCGTTCATATCAACGGTTTACGACCATGATTACTCCGGGACTCCCCCTTCATGAAACAATTCTACAATAATAAAACTGAAACACTGTTCAGACCGAAATAACTGACCAAGCTGCCCTTTGCAGATATCGCTGTCGGGGCGTACCTCTCGGATTCTGCAGTCATTCTCAGAACGAGGCCCATAGTTGACCTCCACGCCAACGTCACGACTGACCCCCAGCTAATCATCAAGGACAGGTCTAATTGTCCGGCGGGGACTAGCGCCGACAGGTGTTTCCTGCTGAGGATCTGTTTCCACTACACTGGAGTCAGCCTACCTTCCAGCCTCAGTAAGGTTCTACTTCATTGTTGTTGTCTTTGCTTTTCTGAATTTCTGTATGTAATTTTTAAAACCCAAGCTCCAGTCCAACCGTGACGTATCGGACATACGGTTGTTTTAGGGTGAAACCTTGTTCACTGCCTATTCCTTCTTTAGTCATTGTTTTTTTTTATCATTTTATTACCTACGAGGGTGAAAATATCGGGGATCATATTTTTCATACGATGCCCCAGGGCAAAATATCACTTTATCATGGTGTCGTGACGTCATGAACAATGCTTTGACGTCACGTTTCTTCTCTAACGTTGCGTTCTACATGCGGCGACGGCGGGTAGCCAGCCTATGTTTGCAAGTAGATTTGAATATATTTTCCTCCATTTGACGACTTCGGTAATAAACAAAATATTATTAGAGTGCCCATGTTATAATATGTATTTTTTATTGTATCAACCGCTGATTTAATAATCTATAGGGTTCCTTCATTTTCGACATTACGGTGTTAAATTGAATGTGCATGGTGTAACAACTAAACAACATGGATATGTGTCATACAATCAATCCCTTTTGCTGTAACGCTACACAACATGGATATGTGTCATACAATCAATCCCTTTTGCTGTAACGCTACACAACATGGATATGTGTCATACAATCAATCCCTTTTTCCTGTAACGCTACACAACATGGATATGTGTCATACAATCAATCCCTTTTGCTGTAACGCTACACAACATGGATATGTGTCATACAATCAATCCCTTTTCCTGTAACGCTACACAACATGGATATGTGTCATACAATCAATCCCTTTTGCTGTAACGCTACACAACATGGATATGTGTCATACAATCAATCCCTTTTGCTGTAACGCTACACAACATGGATATGTGTCATACAATCAATCCCTTTTGCTGTAACGCTACACAACATGGGTATGTGTCATACAATCAATCCCTTTTCCTGTAACGCTACACAACATGGATATGTGTCATACAATCAATCCCTTTTCCTGTAACGCTATACAACATGGATATGTGTCATACAATCAATCCCCTTTGCTGTAACGCTACACAACATGGATATGTGTCATACAATCAATCCCTTTTGCTGTAACGCTACACAACATGGATATGTGTCATACAATCAATCCCTTTTCCTGTAACGCTACACAACATGGATATGTGTCATACAATCAATCCCTTTTGCTGTAACGCTACACAACATGGATATGTGTCATACAATCAATCCCTTTTCCTGTAACGCTACACAACATGGATATGTGTCATACAATCAATCCCTTTTGCTGTAACGCTACACAACATGGATATGTGTCATACAATCAATCCCTTTTGCTGTAACGCTACACAACATGGATATGTGTCATACAATCAATCCCTTTTGCTGTAACGCTACACAACATGGATATGTGTCATACAATCAATCCCTTTTGCTGTAACGCTACACAACATGGATATGTGTCATACAATCAATCCCTTTTTCCTGTAACGCTACACAACATGGATATGTGTCATACAATCAATCCCTTTTGCTGTAACGCTACACAACATGGATATGTGTCATACAATCAATCCCTTTTGCTGTAACGCTACACAACATGGATATGTGTCATACAATCAATCCCTTTTGCTGTAACGCTACACAACATGGGTATGTGTCATACAATCAATCCCTTTTCCTGTAACGCTACACAACATGGATATGTGTCGTACAATCAATCCCTTTTGCTGTAACGCTATACAACATGGGTATGTGTCATACAATCAATCCCTTTTGCTGTAACGCTATACAACATGGATATGTGTCATACAATCAATCCCTTTTGCTGTAACGCTACACAACATGGGTATGTGTCATACAATCAATCCCCTTTGCTGTAACGCTACACAACATGGATATGTGTCATACAATCAAACACCTTTTGCTGTAACGCTACACAACATGGATATGTGTCATACAATCAATCCCTTTTCCTGTAACGCTACACAACATGGATATGTGTCATACAATCAATCCCTTTTCCTGTAACGCTACACAACATGGATATGTGTCATACAATCACCTAAGCTGTAACTCTATACAACATGTTTATCTGTCACACACCCCTATGCCGTAACACCATACAACACGTGTGTTACAGTATTTGACTACGTACTCTCGGTGGATACATACAAAGGAAATGGACAAAAGCGTATACTCATGAACTCGACACAGGGCTACGTCGACTCCATATCTGATGTAATAACTGCTAACAGCCAAACAGGGGCGTGCCGGGAGTTTCAAGCCATCAGTGTAAATGTAAGATAAGCACTGCATATATACAGTACAGCCGGAAATTATTGAGAATTTAAAGATTGTAAAAAAAATTATTTTGTTCACTCATTACTCACGTATTAAATGTGAATATTAGCATAAATTAACTCCAGATTCAAAGGCAGGTGAACAGTTAGTATTTTGTCAGGTCACCATGGGCAGAAATGCAGGCTTCAATGCGGCGCCGCATACTACTGATCAAAGAAGTGAGAAAGTCGTGGTCCATGCTGTCCCAATATCGGACCACCTCTTCTTTCATTTCAGCAATATTAATAGCATTATCACCAATATAATTATTTATTATCCTTTATGTATGAATCTTTGTAGGATCGAGCAGATAAGGATCCGTTCACTGTGGTCCGTGTTGAGGCCACGTACCAACTCCCACAACCGGCGGATCCCAACTCCGACATCCAGCCGGTCACTAACAAGTCACGTCCCGACAAACTCATCAAGGATGTGAGTGGTTAATAGCTGAGGTTATCTCCTCCTTACAAACTACATACTACATTTCCAGAACATCTTTCGCTATTTGTTCAATTGCATGATTAATCATGACAAAACAATAGCTTTTCAAGAAGAAACAAAACTTAGACTTAAGTCTGTGGAAAAAATCAAGTTTAAACTATTCGTTTATTTTTATTGAACGTCATCCGTTTCACAATCCACTATCTTGTCCGATGCCAGTATTTCCTTACCCGTGAAGATCCTGGTTAGAATTGGTCTTCAGCAACTCATGCCAAGAGGCGACTAACGGGATCAGGTGGTCAGGATCGCTGACTTGGTGGACACATGCCATCGTATCCCAATTGCGTAGATCGATGCTCAAGGTCACTCGATTGTCTGGTCCAGACTCGATTATTTACGTACCGCCGCCATGTAGCTGGAATATTGCTGAGGGCGGCATTAAACAAGAATTCTACCATGACTTCGGGAAATATTTGATTGTGATTGGTTAATTAAAGTCAGTCAGAGGTATATAAACACGTTATATACCTCTGACACAGTGTGTATTTTTTTTAAAATCTTAATAACACGGGTATGGTAGAATTGAGATAAACATACTGTGTTGGGAAATCATAACGAAATTGTAATAGCTCTACTTTTTTTATTTAGAACCTCACACTACGCGTTCGGTTTTAAATCAAATTTAGAGCTATAATAATTTTGTTATATACCTCTGCCACATGTTTATCTCCTAGATAAACGAAGCATGTATTTCCTAACGAAATATCTATTCAAAATACCGTTTGTCCATGTCAGGATGTGTTAAAATATAACAAATGATGAAGCAAATACCCTCAGTCAAAATTTCGTCAGACACTTTTGTCCTCGAAAGACTACCAAAAAAACACGGGAACACGAGGTGAACCTTATTCCTCAATTGCATGTCAGTAGAGTAGCAATGGATAACATGGACGATGTCGTCCTGTCGCTTGAGAAAATCGATAAAGGATATTCAATAAAATTATTTATGTGATGACTAGGAAACATGCCATTATTTCAGACTTGCTTGAAATGTTCCCCTGACAACCAGCTTCTTCACTGTCGTGATTTGATAAGTTACTGTCTTGAAGATTGTTCAAACCTCACAAAAACAGTGGATGGAAACCAAATTATGTGGCTATTTCTGTATAAAGTATCTACACATTCTGTAGATTGGGAGCTCCCTGTTGGTATTCTTCTGGAAGGTTCAAGTCGATGACAGTGAAATCTTTCCTATATATATTCTAACCTTACATTTACGCTTGATTACTGCCTTCTTGTAAGTTTGTATGGTGAAGCTTTCATGATTCAATGCTTCAAGTGCATGATTCAATGCTTCAAGTGACTAGTGACATTTCGGTTGCTTCAGGTGGCCTTTCAACTTGAGTGTGGTGAAGACAACCAGTGTTGGTCTGACCTTGTCGTTGACCTGGAGGCGAGCATCAATAACGCGGATGGGGCCGTTATTAGGGAAGATATAAACAAGGATGTCGTTATCAACGCGACAAACGGCCTGGTGCTGAACGTGGCTGTCAGGAACGACATGGAAACCGCATTCGCCACAGTAGTTTATGTCACGTGGTCTGGGACTGTGTCGATGCAGACGACAGAGTCATCTTCTCAACAACCTGTCGTCTGCGACGGAGACGCCGAGGAAATCGGGGTATTCCGAAATCGGCTGAAATGTGACGTTCTCCTTCCGGTGTATTCCAAGGAGATGTTTGCCTTTCAAGTCTTCTTCACGGCAGATGATATCAGGACTGATATGTCCCCGCTAGAATTTAACGTCTTTGTTCAAACCGGAAGTAACGAGACGACACCGGATGATAACAAAGCCAATCTAACTACTCGCGTCTGGATCGATGCTCAAACAGGAATCATTGGGTAATTATACACACTACCTTGTTTCGAAATGGATCGATACTGATCGATATGTATTTTACGATCCGTAAAGATCTGGGTTAGAATTGGTCTTCAGCAACCCATGCTTGTCATAAAAGGCGACTGACGGGATCCGGTGGGCAGGCCCGCTGACCTGGTTTACACTTGTTGTATCCCAGTTGAGTAGATAGATGTTCATGATGATAATCACTGGATTGTCTGATCCAGACTCGATTATTTTCAGACGTCTGCCATATACCTGGAATGTTGCTGAGTGCGGCGATAAAGAACAAACAAACAAAATCATATTTATTTCTCCAAAACATATCACCACGAAACGCAGACAAAATGTACACATTTTGGCTTTTATCACCATTTTTAATCGACTCAAATAGAAACACATATCTATGCATGAGATATGACAGTCACTTTAATGCACTGCAGAAAGTCCGATCCCGACCAAGTTCTGGTACGGATGGATGAACTGGACAAAACCAAGGTTACTATCGGGCACAAATACGTCATCAAGAACGCTGGTCCTAGTTTCTTGCCGTACACACGTGTCTCCGTCAACCTTCCATACTTCAACCAGAAGAAGGAGGCGCTAGTGGAGGCAGCAGACATCAGAGTAAGGACTCGATGTGAGATGTGCTGCTCTGCCTGGTGAATGTAAGGCGTATGAGATGTAAGAAATGTGTGTATCTCAGGGTGAGGACACGATGTGAGGTGTGCTGCTCTGCCTGATGAATGTAAGGTGAGTGAGTGAGTTTAGTTTCACGCCTTACTCAGCAATATTCCAGCCGTATGGCGGCGGTCTGTAAATAATCAAGTCTAGAACAGACAATCCAGTGATCAACAGCATGAGCATCGATCTGCGCAATGGGAACCGATAAAAAGCGTTCGATCTTCACGCCGAATACCCGAGTTCGCGTTACAATATGGGTACAATGTGGGAAGCCCATTTTCTGGTGTCCCCCGCTCTGATATTGCTGGATTATTGCTAAAAGCGGCGAAAACTAAACTCACTCGCTCACTCACTATCACTTCCGGCTCCATTGTCTTTCTCCTTGTCAAAACAAGGCCTGTAAATCTATCCACACTCATATGGTCCCCGCAGATCCTACATGAAGACGGAACAAGCGTCGGCTGTCAGCGATACATAAAAAGTAAAGGCATCGCGCAGAGTTCCACCACATCAACAACATCAACGACAACGTCGACTGAACCAGTGGAGACAACGACTGCTTTCTTACCCGTCCTGCCTCCTTCCAAATTAAAGGAGCGCAAAACAAGAGCCATCGCAAAAAACGTCCTGGACATGGTAGGTTGATGGTCAGAGGGGGAGACTGAAAATTGGTTTTGGTTTTGGTTTGGCGAGTTGGGGGTTTTTTTTCGTTGTTTTAGTTGGGCTTGGGGGGTGGTTTTGTATTTTTTGGATTTCTTCGTAATCGCTTCATGCTGGGGGAGACCAACCGTGTAATCCCATTTGTATTCAAAATATATCTCTTGTCTCCTCGGAAAATACTGCATGTATAGCAATCCAGAGTTAAACCTGAGGAAACATTTTCTTTTGTCAGTATATTCTGGATTTTGTTATAGTTAATAAAGTCATAAACATTGCATAGTTATGCCCATTATGTAATAAACTACTGGAGGTGGGTCTCTTTCAAATCTTATCTTATCTTTGAAACCAAAAAGTAATGTTTTTACCGTATTTGCACCATTTAAAACAAAGGAGGGTTATTAGGTCCCAAATCCTTTTCTTACCAATATGTGTTTTCATAAATTACTCATTCAAACTGTTGCACGATTGTTGGACTGTTGGATGGAGGTGAAATTGACGTAATCATAGTTAACAACAGTTCCTCTATAGGTGAGTAACATAACAAACCCCTTATATTTGCTTTATGTCCTTCAGTCTAGATAAGATTCAGGTGATATATTTTGCCGTTATGATCACGTACGTTTAGTAACTATCTGGTGTTGTCATTAAATGTATGGTTCAGTTTTCTTCCTGGCTTCTGATGGAGGCTGCTACTGAAGTCGCTGTGGTTGTCTGGTTCACAGGACTGTGCAGACTTCAAGTGTGTTGAGTACACGTGTCCTCTGCATCATCTGAGCCCGGGGAGTAGCGCCATCGTCAACATCACCGTCTGGATCCCAGGAAGCAGCCTGCCCTTTTATGATGTGGGTAACTTCGCGCTCAAATTTGGACCCGTGAAGGTCCGGGTTAGAATTGATCTTCGGTAACACATGCTTGCCGTAAGAGGGGACTAACGGGATCGGCTGGTCAGGCTAGCTGACCTGGTTGACACGTCATCGTATCCCAACTGCGTAGATCGATGCCCATGCTCTTGATCACTGGATGGTCTGGTCCAGTCTCGATTATTTACAAACCGCCGCCATATAGCTGGAATATTGCTGAGTGCAGCGTTAAACAACAAACCAGCCAACCAGCCAACCAACCATATGCTATTACGGGTATATAACTATTGATGAAACTTCGTGTCACTGCGGATGTGACGAAGCATGTGTGAATGTAGATGGAATAACGAACGCATTCAGCTGCATGCAATTCCGGTTGTAACAAACGACTAGTTGCTCCGGATGTAACGATCTGCGTTTTCTTGCAATGAAAGTGATAGGTGCAAAACGTGTTCGTTTGTTTTGGATCCAGCGGGTTGACTTCCTGAGGTACTACACTGAAGCCACCGTGATCCAACCTGACCACCCCCTGCTCTACCCCTGGGGACAGGCTGTCGAGACGAAGGTAAGAGGGGGACATCCCGCCCGGTCCTCCTGTGCACATCCCTTACATAACATCGACTGAAACCAATCATGTCGGTATCTACAACAGGTCTTATACGTCGGTAGCAGGATACGCTAATCGTTATGCTGACTCAACACAAATAAGAAGGAAAAGATTGTCCAACGCTATGGTGGTGCGCACTCTTGAGAAAGTGGGGGCGCACACTTCATTTCCACGAGAGTTTCAATGATGGTCCTTGCCAGGAACACAGCCCTTCTGACACTGAGGTTAATGCCGAAGTCTGCAGGGAGTGTTCGGGGAGTCTACATATTCCCGAAACGTTTTTTGTGGGTTCGACTGGCCAGCGCTTCCAGTGAGAAGTTTTGTTCACTGTCTGGGATGCGTGTAAAGGGGGCTACAGAGGCAATGAGCTGATGATGAGCCTTACCAGCCTGACTGTGCCAGGATCACCCACACTCTCTTTTCTACATTTATGTATTTTAATCTGTTAATATCAACCATCATCATTATCATCATGTGTCATGATCTGACACAACCCAACTAAACCTTCCCTTGATTACAGATAATGACGCCAATCTACCCCGAAAATCCACCCGGCAAGGTCAACATCTGGATCATCATCGGCAGCGTCCTTGCCGCCATCGTCATCCTCATCATAATCTTCATCGTGCTGTGGAAGGTACATTGCCTGGCCTGAAAATTATTCAACGTTGTAGTTGTCTGGTCTGCAAATTGTTCAACGTTGTAGTTGTCTGGTGTCTAAATTGTTCAACGTTGTAGTTGTCTTGTCTGTAAATTGTTCAACATTGTAGTTATCTGGCCTGTATATTGTTCAACATTGTAGTTGTCTTGTCTGTAAATTGTTCAACGTTGTAGTTGTCTGGTCTGGATATTATTCAACATTATAGTTGTCTGGTCTGTAAATTGTTCAACATTATGGTTGTCTGGTCTGTAAATTGTTCAACGTTGTAGTTGTCTGGTCTGTAAATTGTTCAACATTATAGTTGTCTGGTCTGTAAATTGTTCAATATTATAGTTGTCTGGTCTGTAAATTTTTCAACATTATAGTTGTCTGGCCTGTAAATTGTTCAAAATTGTAGTTGTCTGCTCTGTATGTTGTTCAACGTTGTAGTTGTCTGGTCTGTAAATTGTTCAACATTGTAGTTGTCAGGTATGTATATTGTTCAACATTGTAGTTGTCTGGCCTGTATATTGTTCAACATTGTAGTTGTCTGGTCTCTAAATTGTTCAGCGTTGTAGTTGTCTGGTCTGTATATTATTCAACATTATAGTTGTCTGGCCTGTATATTGTTCAACATTGTAGTTGTATGGTCTGTAAATTGTCCAACATTGTAGTTGTCTGGTCTGTAAATTAATCAACATTATAGTTGTCTGGCCTGTAAATAGATCAACATTGTAGTTGTCTTGTCTGTATATTGTTGAACGTTGTAGTTGTCTTGTCTGTAAATTGTTCAACATTGTAGTTGTCAGGTCTGTATATTGATCAACATTGTAGTTGTCTGGCCTGTATATTGTTCAACATTGTAGTTATCTGGTCTGTAAATTGTTCAACATTGTAGTTGTCTGATCTGTATATTATTCAACATTATAGTTGTCTGGCCTGTATATTGTTCAACATTATAGTTGTCTGGTTTGTAAATTGTTCAACGTTGTAGTTGTCTGGTCTGTAAATTGTTCAACATTGTAGTTGTCTGGTATGTATATTATTCAACATTATAGTTGTCTGGCCTGTGTATTGTTCAACATTGTTGTTGTCTGGCCCCTATATTCTTCAACATTGTAGTTGTCTGGCCTCTAAATTGTTCAACATTGTAGTTGTCTGGACTGTAAATTGTTCAACATTGCGGTTCTCTGGTCTGTATATTGTTCAACGTTGTAGTTGTCGTGTCTGTAAATTGTTCAACATTGTAGTTGTGTGGTCTGTATATTGTTCAACATTGTAGTTGTCTGGCCAGTATATTATTCAACATTATAGTTGTCTGGTCTGTATATTGTTCAACGTTGTAGTTGTCTTGTCTGTAAATTGTTCAACATTGTAGTTGTCTGGCCTCTAAATTGTTCAACATTGTAGTTGTCTGGTCTGTAAATTGTTCATCGTTTTAGTTGTCTGGTCTGTAAATTGTTCAACGTTATAGTTGTCTGGTGTGTAAAGTGTTCAACGTTGTAGTTGTCTGGTCTGTAAATTGTTCAACATTGTAGTTGTCTGGCCTGTATATTGTACAACGTTGTAGTTGTCTGGTCTGTAAATTGTTCAACGTTGTAGTTGTCTGGTCTGTAAATTGTTCAACATTGTAGTTGTCTGGCCTGTACATTCTACAACGCTGTAGTTGTCTGGTCTGTAAATTGTTCAACATTATCGTTGTCTGGTATGTAAATTGTTCAACGTTGTAGTTGTCTGGTCTGTAAATTGTTCAACATTATAGTTGTCTGGTTTGTAAATTGTTCAACGTTGTAGTTGTCTGGTCTGTGAATTGTTCAACGTTGTAGTTGTCTGGTCTGTAAATTGTTCAACGTTGTAGTTGACGGGACCGTAAATTGTTCAACATTGTAGATGTCTGGCCTGTAAATTGTTCAAAATTGTAGTTGTCTGGTCTGTAAATTGTTCAACGTTGTAGTTGACGGGACCGTAAATTGTTCAACATCATAGTTGTCTGGTCTGTAAATTGTTCAACGTCGTAGTTGTTTTGTCTGTAAATTTTTCAACATTGTAGTTGTCTGTCTGTAAATTGTTCAACATTGTAGTTGTCCGGTCTGTAAATTGTTCAACGTTGTAGATGTCTGGTCTGTAAATTGTTCAAAATTGTAGTTGTCTTGTCTGTAAATTGTTCAACATTGTAGTTGTCTGTCTGTAAATTGTTCAACATTGTAGTTGACTGGTCTGTAAATTGTTCAACGTTGTAGTTATCTGGTCTGTAAATTGTTCAACATTGTAGTTGTCAGGTATGTATATTGTTCAACATTGTAATTGTCTGGTCTCTAAATTGTTCAACGTTGCAGTTGTCTGGTCTGTATATTATTCAACATTGTAGTTGTCTGTGCCTGTATATTGTTCAACATTGTAGTTCTCTCGTCTGTAAATTGTTCAACATTGTAGTTGTCTGGTCTGTAAACTGTTGAACATTATAGTTGTCTGGCCTCTTAATAGTTCAACATTGTAGTTGTCTTGTCTGTATATTGTTCAACGTTGTAGTTGTCTTGTCTGTAAAATGTTCAACGTTGTAGTTGTCAGGTCTGTGTATTGTTCAATGTTGTAGTTGTCTGGACTGTAAATTGTTCAACATTATAGTTGTCTGGTCTGTAAATTGTTCAACGTCGTAGTTGTTTTGTCTGTAAATGTTTCAACGTTGTAGTTGTCTTATCTGGTCTCTAAATTGTTCAACGTTGTAGTTGACGGGACCGTAAATTGTTCAACATTGTAGTTGTCTGGCCTGTAAATTGTTCAACGTTGTTGTTGTCTGGTCTGTAAATTGTTCAACGTTGTAGTTGTCTGGTCTGTAAATTGTTCAACGTTGTAGTTGACGGGACCGTAAATTGTTCAGCGTTGTAGTTGTCTGGACCGTAATTTGTTCAACATTGTATTTGTCTAGCCTGTATATTGTTCAATGTTGTAGTTGTCTGGTCTGTAAATTGTTCAACATTATCGTTGTCTGGTGTCTAAATTGTTCAACGTTGTAGTTGTCTTGTCTGTAAATTGTTTAAAATTGTAGTTGTCTGGCCTGTAAATTGTTCAACGTTGTAGTTGTCTGGTCTGTAAATTGTTCAACGTTGTAGTTGTCTTGTCTGTAAATTGTTTAACATTGTAGTTTTCTGTCTGTAAATTGTTCAACATTGTAGTTGTCTGGTCTGTAAATTGTTCAACGTTGTAGTTGTCTGGTCTGTAAATTGTTCAACGTTGTAGTTGTCTTGTCTGTAAGTTGTTTAACATTGTAGTTGTCTGTCTGTAAATTGTTCAACATTGTAGTTGTCTGGTCTGTAAATTGTTCAACGTTGTAGTTGTCTGGTCTGTAAATTGTTCAACATTATAGTTGTCTGGTTTGTAAATTGTTCAACGTTGTAGTTGTCTGGTCTGTGAATTGTTCAACGTTGTAGTTGTCTGGTCTGTAAATTGTTCAACGTTGTAGTTGACGGGACCGTAAATTGTTCAACATTGTAGATGTCTGGCCTGTAAATTGTTCAAAATTGTAGTTGTCTGGTCTGTAAATTGTTCAACGTTGTAGTTGACGGGACCGTAAATTGTTCAACATCATAGTTGTCTGGTCTGTAAATTGTTCAACGTCGTAGTTGTTTTGTCTGTAAATTTTTCAACATTGTAGTTGTCTGTCTGTAAATTGTTCAACATTGTAGTTGTCCGGTCTGTAAATTGTTCAACGTTGTAGATGTCTGGTCTGTAAATTGTTCAAAATTGTAGTTGTCTTGTCTGTAAATTGTTCAACATTGTAGTTGTCTGTCTGTAAATTGTTCAACATTGTAGTTGACTGGTCTGTAAATCATTGTTCAACGTTGTAGTTATCTGGTCTGTAAATTGTTCAACATTGTAGTTGTCAGGTATGTATATTGTTCAACATTGTAATTGTCTGGTCTCTAAATTGTTCAACGTTGCAGTTGTCTGGTCTGTATATTATTCAACATTGTAGTTGTCTGTGCCTGTATATTGTTCAACATTGTAGTTCTCTCGTCTGTAAATTGTTCAACATTGTAGTTGTCTGGTCTGTAAACTGTTGAACATTATAGTTGTCTGGCCTCTTAATAGTTCAACATTGTAGTTGTCTTGTCTGTATATTGTTCAACGTTGTAGTTGTCTTGTCTGTAAAATGTTCAACGTTGTAGTTGTCAGGTCTGTGTATTGTTCAATGTTGTAGTTGTCTGGACTGTAAATTGTTCAACATTATAGTTGTCTGGTCTGTAAATTGTTCAACGTCGTAGTTGTTTTGTCTGTAAATGTTTCAACGTTGTAGTTGTCTGGTCTCTAAATTGTTCAACGTTGTAGTTGACGGGACCGTAAATTGTTCAACATTGTAGTTGTCTGGCCTGTAAATTGTTCAACGTTGTTGTTGTCTGGTCTGTAAATTGTTCAACGTTGTAGTTGTCTGGTCTGTAAATTGTTCAACGTTGTAGTTGACGGGACCGTAAATTGTTCAGCGTTGTAGTTGTCTGGACCGTAATTTGTTCAACATTGTATTTGTCTAGCCTGTATATTGTTCAATGTTGTAGTTGTCTGGTCTGTAAATTGTTCAACATTATCGTTGTCTGGTGTCTAAATTGTTCAACGTTGTAGTTGTCTTGTCTGTAAATTGTTTAAAATTGTAGTTGTCTGGCCTGTAAATTGTTCAACGTTGTAGTTGTCTGGTCTGTAAATTGTTCAACGTTGTAGTTGTCTTGTCTGTAAATTGTTTAACATTGTAGTTTTCTGTCTGTAAATTGTTCAACATTGTAGTTGTCTGGTCTGTAAATTGTTCAACGTTGTAGTTGTCTGGTCTGTAAATTGTTCAACGTTGTAGTTGTCTTGTCTGTAAGTTGTTTAACATTGTAGTTGTCTGTCTGTAAATTGTTCAACATTGTAGTTGTCTGGTCTGTAAATTGTTCAACGTTGTAGTTGTCTGGTCTGTAAATTGTTCAACATTATAGTTGTCTGGCCTGTAAATTGTTCAACATTGCAGT